GAAGCGTGAGGGAGCGAAGCCCTGAGAAATTTTTATTTTGGCCCAGTCCTGCCCCCTGCCTTCACTCTTAGCCACCCCAAACGCCCCCTTCCCCCTCCCTCCCTCATTCACACATTCAGGAAACAGGGGACCCTGCCAGAAGCCCTTTCTGTTTCCGGGAATCAGGCCCACAGGGCTGCTGTGTAGTGGGCCGGCTCTGACGTGAAGGCTATTGTTCCCGTGCGGAGCTCCATTGTGGAAGGGAAGGAACAGCAGCAAAAACAAAAAACACCCGCGGAAGGAGCTGAGAGGGAGGGTGGACAAGATGTCTGAGCTATTTCTGTAAAGAGGCTCCTTCCCAAAGAGAGGTCCGCTCGCCGATGAGATACGGCCGCTCTCGTGTGTTCGGCTGCAGAGTTTATCTCTATGATCTACTCTGCCATGTTAAAGGATGACGCACAGACTCAAAAATACATGTGACTCATGAGAATGGAGGATCTAATGTCCGTGGAAACATGCATACTTGTGTTAGATGAAAGCCTTACTGTACACAACACCAATGTCTTTTCCGCTCTGTGGTCAAGGGCAGAAATCCCTGCTGGAAAAACCAGGTCACACCAGCTTAACGTGTTCAGGCTGCTTTTTGAATTGAAGTACAAAACAACATACTTTTGAAATCAAGTAGTCAATGAATTGTTCTTGAATGAGACTTTTACATTTGTTTTGAGACATTAGGGGGGATTTACTTAACAACAGACACGTTTTTACCTTTACGTGACGCCTTAATCAACGCTCATGGTGGGACGTTTAAAAAAAAGTGCAAGATGTGATGAAGCAACCATTCTGTCTGAATGTGTATGGTTGTAGCGGTGCTTCAAAATGTATGCATTTGGTTGTTTTTCACTGGAGACAATATTTCGACCAGTTCGTGCAGCTCTTCACAGAAAAAAACACAGTAAACTTGGAGCTTTTAAAAAAGGCAAACAAAAAAAGTAATCAGAAACAATTTGTAATTAGAATATTTCCCCAAATTGCGGAGACCTATATCAAAGTTACTGTTATTATATTACATTTAAGATTTAGTTTACATCTTAAGTTATCACATTTGATATTATTACTCTTTCATGCTGCTTTCTAAATACTGGTTATAAATCATTAGATGAATCACAATTATTTTATTCAAGAGCCCCATACATATACAGTATATATATATATATATATATATATATATATATATATATATGCTGTATATATGCATGTTTGCAGAACTGTATCCACGCACACACATATAAATATATACTATTTAATAATGTATAATATTTTAATAATTGACTTTGGCTTTAGTACAATAACAATAATGAAAGCCAGTTATTTATTTATTTTCCACTCAACCATCCCTCAGTTGACAGTTGATCATTTTATTTGGAGGTCCTTGGTATCATAAAGTTTGTTAACCCTTAAACAATTCAACATCACAAATTGACTGTTTTGTTATCCACCTTATTCTGCTCTAAACAATGCATGCTGCCATAACGACGACTCCGATTGCCAACTTCCAGTTCGTATCTGGTCTATGCCATAGACAGTGGTCTATGCGTTTTTGCTTTGTGTTTCAGATTGTGTCATCCCCACATCTCTAAACTTAATCGAATAAAATATTCATCAAATGTGATCTGATCACATTCTTTTTTATTAAATCACAGATAAAAACAAAATGAACTTTTTTTCTTCATAACTTCCAAATGATAGCTGATGCATGACATCACAATCTCCATAATCCAGCAATACACAAACATCCGACAGTTTCTATCACCCTGACTGCTGCAGAATAACCAATTATTCCAGCTTAACCAGCTTAAGGCTTGTTAGCCCTTTGACTCCTACGTCTACCTCTGCTTTCAAAGATGCATAGTCTATATATTTCCCAGGCCTGTGAGGCAAGTAGGCCTACATTATACACTGGGTTTTGGTTCATTTATGAGACCAGAGTCCAGTTTGCGCGCCGGTGCCTCCGTTATGGTGATCTATTTTCAACTATATTTACTTCTTATTTATTAACCCTTTACCTGTCACCCACCTTTTTTGAGAATGGGGGTTAAAATGCACTATTCACACTTAAATGGTTGTAATTCAAGAATACTTTGAGAATACAAGTTTGGTCTTGTTTTAAAGAAAACACTCAGCAGATTATTGCTGAAATGAAAACACTTCAAAAAAAGAAAGTATGAAAAAGTTATGGAAGTTTAAATTCACAGTAAATCAAATATACTGTACTATATATTTTTTATTTGATATAAAACATATATTTTATAATATATTTTTTACTCTAAAATTACTATAAAATCAAAGCCATAAATCTAACCAAGTTTTGTTCCAAATTTGAAGTTGCTATCACAAAAATTGAAGTTCCCATGAGATTTTGTTTAGGCGTAGTACCAAAAATAGCCACCGGGTGCCATTGAATTCCATTGAATTTAGTTGTTTACATTCTGCCTTAACAAATTAATAAATTTCTGTCCAAATAGCAAATTTGTCACAAAATTTGGAACCTTGAGACTCTTCTTGACAATACCTTGAGACCTTTCTGACAATATGTGTTTTGTCCAGATTAGATCATAGATCATAAATTATGAAATATAATGATGCCCAAAAGGGGAGGAGCCTGATAAAATAAGTACCGTTTCTATGGTAACGCAACATTCAATTATAAAACTGTTTACACAGGATGGATTCTGAGTTTATAAGCTTTCAAATGATACCTAATTTATGATAACTACTAAAATATGTGATATAATAAAAAGGTGATAAAATATTATATTTTAGAGGATATATATATATATATATATATATATATTAGGATAATATTATACTATAATTTTTTATTGAAAAATACTAGATTATATGTTTTATTATGAACTTTTAGCATAAAAACAGAAGTTTCAATGATTAAAAGTAGGTGCATTGACTTTTTGTGAAAAGGTCAGACCTCCTGTTATGATGCAGATTTTTTGAGGTGTACTCTTGTCATAAATTCATCAATTACTCTTCCTACATTTGTAACACAAAACAGGGGTAGAACATCTATTTCTATTAGATTAGGCGTCCCGGTACCGGGGCGTGACAGGTGACAGTTAAGGGGTTAAACCAAGCAATTGTTTGATGAAAATTGATTGAAATTAAGATACAATAAATAAAAATGAAATTCACTTTAAAAGAAAGGCATTGTGGTTTCTCTTTAAGATCTCTGTGAAAGTTTTAAAGTTGCTTTCAAAGTGGTCATGTCCGTAATGGAGAACTGTCACATCCGTAACATTGTTTTTTTTCCTCATAAATGCGAATACGAAAAATAAAATAAAAATAATATTTTATGTTCTGTGGAGGCCGACCCTTCTTCATCTGGTTAGTAGGCTGTTACTTTTGTTTTGTGCAGTGTAATTCATAGAATTACTGAAAAATATTTTGCCGCCTAAAAGTTAAAGATTTGTTGTGTTATGTGTATTTCGCTCACATTAAATATAAAATGCATGTGTAGACTGATATTTTTCTAATGTCTGGACTAGACTGCTAACATTCTATGTAAACAAATACTTCAACAGGAAGTAGAAAATCGTTTAGTCAGTTGAACCCGCTATGAATCATGGGAAATAGAATGGGTGCACAAAAAGGTGGATAAGATTTACAATCTGTATCCTTTATTATTTAGAAGATGAGCCTTTAGTCTTGAGCTTTCTCATAGCAGACTAAAGTGTGGGAACTGAAGGGAATACTTACAGCTGAATCTGATCATTGTACAGTAAATGAAGCCATTTGTAAGACACACCAAACAAAAAAAATGGGCTGCACAACCGACAGGGGAAAGTTTAGGGTGATGGAAAGTCAAACATAAATGCATTACGCAACACCACCAATAGTATATAGGCAGTTACAACATAACGGTGACATAAAGGAGAGAAAGACAAAAATAATGATGTAAGAATGATGAAAATAATAATGCATGGCCTCTATGGGCTTGTTTGTATATGTCTGGAAACGGTCATTAGTGGTGTTTGCTGAGGCAGTGTCAACCAGTAGAGATTCCACTGGACTGTTTATCTGTGCTACTAGATTATAACTCTCTAGAATATCAGTAAATAGTAATTGGTTATGTAGTAGGAATAGCTATATTGTTATTTACACTTTACATAATTTAACTGTCACACACCATGATGTAGTCGGTTATTTTGTTCATCTCTTACTTTTACTTAATCATTTATAATATATTAATAAAATGACCTATAATACATAGAAGGGAGGTGGAGTAGGTGATTGCATAATATAATTTAGCTAATTCTACTAATTCTTTAGTAAATTAATTATTTAAAATTAACTTTTATATTAAAGTGTGTAGAAATATTGTAGAGATTTGGATGATGGGCTCTTTTGACGTCTTTAGAAATTGTTGAATTTTATCTTAAAATAATGTTAATGTTTATATCACACATGTACACTACCTTTTAAAAGTTTGGGGTCAGTAAGATTTTTCTTTTTCTTGTGTTCAGCAATGATGCATTCAATTGATCAAAAGTGACAAATACATTTACATTGTCACAAAAGATTTCTATTTCAAATTTCTATTTTCTATTCATCTATAAAATCCTGGAAAAAAAATACAGCACAACTGTTTTCAACATTGATAATAATAAGAAATGTTTCACTAAATCATTATATTATAAAGGATCATGTGACACTGAAGACTGGAGTAATGATGCTGAAAGTTCAGCTTTGCATCACTGGAATAAATTACATTTTAAAATGTTAAAATGGAAAACCGTTATTTTAAACTAAGATTTTTTTAACATTTTTACTGTATTTATTTTTGATTAAATAAATTCAGCCATGGAGACTTTTTTTCATTATAAAAAGTATAATCTTACTGAAAAAAAAAAAAAAATCAAATCAAATTAAAAAACAAATTGCTATTGTCTAATTTCTATTAGCCTTTTTTTGTTTTGTTTTTTAAATTTATGTTCTTTGTCTTCCAGGTTTCCCAAAAAAGCGAGCAGGTGAGTGCTGTTCCTCCTTCCTGTTGCTCTTTCATATAGTGAAACACCCTCATAGTCCCAGAGAGAAGCACGGCAGCCAGACAGACAGCAAATGCCGGTTTTCTGCAGACAGCGATATGGGCAGGTTGAGGTTAGACACAACACTGATGCTGCTGTTGATACGAACACAGTGACACAGTACAGAAATAACGCTCAGATTCACAGCATTAACTCAGGCTTTCAAGCGATCTCATTTGTCAACATGGACTAACAACGAACATTTTAGCTTGCTTATTTGCTTGCGAGCAGGATCCAAAGTGTACACTCATCAAATGCAAATTAAAAAAATGCAAAACTCACCCAATTCTAGGAATTACAACATATTTCAAATTTGCCAGTTGCATAAACTGCTTAGACTACTCTTAAAAATTTTTTTTGCAAGGCTGGTCCTAAAGTCAGTGACATAAAAAGGTATATCGGTCCAATTTGAATTAGAAAAGTACGTCTGATTACCTCTTTGTTAACAAACTAGTTCTTAAAGAGAAAGTTCATGAAAGAAATTTGTCATTCCTTCACCCTCATGTTGCTCCAAACCTGTTTGAGTTTGTTCTGTTGAACACAAAAGAAGATACTTTGAAAAATGTCGATAACCAGACAGTTGACAGCATCCACTGACTTCCTTTTCGAGTAGGAAAGAAAAAATACTATGGGAGTCAATGGGTTACGTAGGGCCCTATGATTTCCGCGATAACGAAATCGCGGAATTGGCTAATTAACGCGGAATCTAGTGTTAATGCGGAATTTCGTGGAATTTTCCATATTTGGTTTGAAATTCTGTTTTTGTGCGGGAGATGAACGTATGTCTGGTGAAAATGCAGACCGAGGGAAACAAATCTGGGCGACACAAACCCCTCAACCCAATATTTCAGCCCCAATGATGAAATCAAAACAATGAAAGCATGGCAAAGCGGCTCTCCACGGCTCTGCTTTCGTCGGCTATAAGCCGTCAGTTCTGAGCCGAGCAGTTCGCACGTGAATTATGCAGTGTTTCCCACACATAGACTAATTCGCCGCCACATACTGCGTTTCGGTTTTTAACAGTATTTAAAACACGCAGCGTATTCTTTCAGTTGTATTTCCCCGCTCTCCCTCCGTCTCTCTCTCGCTCACGTTTCTCTCTCACACACGCACACGACGTGCACACCGCGCCTGTCTATGAGGCGGCAAAAGGACAAAAGCGAAGCGAACTCCGTGAGAGACAGAGTGTGACTTTATTTAAACTTATAAACTAATATAATTTATATTACTGGACAGTTTAAAGCTCATAACCATAGTTTGTTATTACTTGAAGAGTGCAGTGTTATGTTGCATCATGCAGTATTTGTCCTGAAAAGGCTACTGAGTAAATGTCTGTATTACCTCAATAAATTTAAGGTCATTTCTAATTTATTTTGTATTTTTAATACATTTTACAATACATCATTAACTTTAAAAGCATTATTTTTACAACTAAAATATTAGTAAAGGGTAAAAAAAAAAAAACTAATTCCCAAAAATTAAAACGGAAAAAACGGAATTTGGGAAAAAAATAAAATGGATTTCATAGGGCCCTAAATGTCTTGTTATTTACATCTCTCAAAATATCTTCTTTTGTTTTCAACAGAAGAAAGAAACTTATACAGGTTTGGAACAATATAAGGGTGAGGAAATGATGACAGAATTTTTATTTTTGGCTGAACTATCCCTTTAAGAAAGTCTTAACATACACTCTTAAAAAAGGTCCCAAAAGAGAGTGATATGGATCAATGATATATAATAGCTTTTTTTTTTGTGTGTGTGTGGCTTCCCCAAACAATCTTTCAGTCAACAGGTTATAAAATACTTTTTTTTCTTTATGTTAAGAGCATTTTAATTGTCTGAAGAACATTTTTTTCCACTATAAAGAACCTTTAGTCCAATGGAAATGTTCTGTGAGTTTCATGAAACCACCGATGCTAATAAAGAAACTTTATTTTAATTTTAAATAACTGGCCCCTAATCGTCTTCAACCATTTTTTTTTTTTTTTTTTGAGGAAATTTTTTCATAATTTGAATCTAAGAATTCTCTAAATTACGCTAAGTTTGGAGACGGTACGATTTTTAAAATATTTTTAAAAGAAGTCTCTTATGCTCACCAGGGCTGCATTTATTTGTTCAACAATACAGGAAAACAGTAATATTCTTACATATTTTTATTCTTACATTTTTTTAACGGCTAAATAATTGCAGTCATAAAGACAAAAAAATTTTGTTGTTTTTTTATTAAAATAAATGCAAAGTACAATTTTTTCTCAATTTACCAGGACAATATGCTAAAACACACTTTGGGAAGTGCCATCTATAAATAATATCCCCTTTAAAGAACTCAAAATTCACTTAATGGATGACTACGCAACCATCCTAAACCATCAACATGATGGCTCTTTTGTAATTGGTGAATTCACGGTGAACAGTAGTTTGCATTGTGTTGGTCAGAAATGTTTTGTCTGCTCTCTCTGGGCCTGTTTTTGGACATGGGGCATGAGTGTGACCTTTTGTAAGTGGATCCAAATTTCCTGTCTAGTTTTTGTGTTTTGCTGGATAAGAATAGCATGATGTGGCGGTGATGGTGACCCTTTCTCCCGTTTTTTTTTTTTTTGTGTGTGTGTGTGCGCACACAGGACAGGAAGTATTCTCATCAAGGACCATCCCCCAGACAAAAAGCCCAAAAGCGACAAGGCGTCAGTCCCCCCCTCGCATGAGTTTGACCCCACAGGTAAGAACCCGTCTGTTTGCCTCCTCTTGAAAGACTATACAATGTCTCGCTTTCTTCATTTCAAGAATATTTTGTGGCGCAAAACAAGAGGTTTCAGTGTTTTCAAGTTATTTTGTTTGAAAGCTAAAAGTAACTGACGAAGTTAATCAGGTTATTTCTAATGAAATGCATATATCTGGGTTGTGACAGCTCGGATATTGTGCAGATATAGTGCACATTGCTCTAAAGAGCAGTGAACTTGCATGTCTGTGGATTTATTGTTTGAGAGATTGAATGCAGACCCAACTTGTGCTGCTGGACTGCCTCAGTCTGTGTAAAGATAATTACAGCAGGAACATGTCAAGCTGTGACATCAGAGGGACCACATGGACCTCAATCATCATTTAAATGCTGGAGTAGCACCTTGTTTAAAGGTTTAACACTGACTTTGACTTTTGGCCACCGCTGAGTAATGTGACTCAGTGGAACACTTAAAGGGTAGTTTACCCATAAACAATAAAACCTGTCATTAAACATTATATTATTGGCTTATCTCTAACACACACTACCGTTCAAAAGTGTGGGGTCTGTACGATTGTTAATATAAATGCTGTTTCTATTCTGAAAAATGTATCACAGTTAATAAACATTAAACAAGACATCAGTATGTTCAGGGCTCTAGACTGAGTCTAAATGCTTGTATTTTGCGAAAAAAAAAATTTATTTTAATTTTCGATACAAATCACAAACGCCTCGTGATTTTAAAATAGTTAATACTTTCTCAACAAAACTGCTGTGAAGAACAGGATAAATATTGTGCCACCCACAGCGACCCAGTTAGAAGGTTTTTCGATCCACAAATCTCCAACATTTACCATGGATTTATTGTAGACTAGCTGTAACTGTGGCGTTGTGAAAGAAAGGCGGGATATTCATATAGAATGGATTATATTAATGCAGACAAGTGGAACATAATTACAGTATTTTAAGGTTTTTGTGCATTTGTACCGTTTTATATAACAAATACCACAGACCAATTGCCAATTTTAATAGTAGAGTCTTAACTCACAGTCAGAATATTTAAAATGTACTGTGTAAAAAATAGGTTGTTACCATTTTTACAGTAAGAAAATGTTAGCATGTATGTGTTTTGTTTTTTACATAAAATACAATTTATATCCACCTCTCAACTTAAACTACTGTCAAATGTGGATTTCAAAGAGACAAAAAATATTAAATTATTGTTAATATTAAGATTAAGATAAGACACATGCCTTTGGTGTGAGAGACCCAGGTTCAAATCCACTGTTAGACACCAATGTGTCCCTGAGCAAGACGCTTAACCCAGAGTTGCTCCAGAGGCGTGCGACCTCTGACATATATAGCAATTGTAAGTCGCTTTGGATAAAAGCATCAGCTAAATGAATAAATGTAAATGTAAAATGTAAATGCATATGTAGAACTTTGCCACCGGTACCACTGCTCTCAAAGATCAACCTGGAGCCCTGACATTAGAAAGATTTCTGAAGGATCATGTGACACTGAAGTCTGGAGGAAGGGGTGTTTCTTTTCCACTGGACTACTTTTCCATTGTTTTTCGATGTAAACACGCTAGACAGACCTGTTTAACCGTTGCACTCACGTCTTGCAACTTTTGCAGGTCTTGTGCATGACATCTTTCTAAAAACATGGTGCTCAAGTTCAACTTTTATTATATGCTGCGGTTTTGTTTTTTTTTTTTTTTTTTTTTTAACAAACACAAACATGTTCTGTGTGTGTGAATGGCCCTATTGGCTGCTGAAAATTCAGCATTTCCCATCACGGGAGTAAAAAACATTTGAAAACGTATTTAAAATATATATTGAAAACAGCGATTTTAAATAATACAAAAAAAAGTTTCACAATAGTACTGTTTTTACTGTATCAAATGAAATACAGCCATCATGAGAGACTTTCAGAAACTATAAAAAAAGCCTTACCGACCCCAAACTTTTCAACTTTTCAGTGCATAAATGAAATATGACACTGGAAACATATAAAAGGTAACGTTAAATATTTGCTAAAATTTCTTACCATTTTAAATGCATATGGAACACGACCCAGTTGTGTCAGTTTTGCCCAGCATTACACCCTTCTTTTTACCATCATGATATAAATGACACTTCTCAAATGATGTGTGTGGTGCGGTTGCAGTGTAGTTTTATTTTTAATGAGGTGGTCACAAATGGTCACATGTTTACACACTTTTCCATACATTAAAAATGAATTAGAACTGAGGCTGTCAAGCCTTAAATTTTTTTTACAAAAATGATCACTAATAAAGTCTACATGACTTTCCTGCTCTCATACGATAGCTTTGTGTAAGGACTAAAATTTAAATTCACAAAAAAATCTTCTTCACCCCAGATCCACAAACCTTTCAAATCTATAGCAGGTTTGAAATCAGAAATATGTGAAAAAGACACTTTTCATGTTTGTCGGAACTATTTTAAACATTCTCAGTTTTTCAACAGTTGATTTGCCATTTCACTACTACTCTTCACTCAGTTTACACATGCCGAGTTAAATGTTACATTTACTCAGCATTAGGGCTGTTTTCGACTAAGGATTTTCATAGTCGAATCTGATTCGTTAGATTTTGCCGTAGTCGACTGATAGTCGAACCTTTTTTTTTTAGATAGGTCTAGCTACATTTTTTCCATTTCAAACAAAAGAGATGGACGTATTCGCATTAGGCTATTCGTTCTGTCTGTGTTTTTTTCTAAACAGTTAGGCAATGTTTAGGTAGTATTTTTCATGTTTTTATCACGCAATCATGTTTTTGATGCGGTGGTGAGCTTGTAACTTAACGCTTTAGCCTGAGGGTAGCAGCGGCGCTGCCGAAAATAAAAAGCTGTCACAAAGAACAAATAGAGCAAGGAGACATTTTAATTGTTTATTAATAAAGATGAAGTTGACGATGCTGCGTGATCTTCGCATAGTGCATGCGCCAGAGAGAAATGCACAGTTCATTTCATAAGCAGAGAGCATTACGTTTTCTTTCGTTTTGAATCGTTCTATTTACAAGTAGACATTTCAATATAGATATGTTTCAGGTCTGTGGAGTAGACTATACTTATACGCCGAGTTGCGGTAGCTATATTTATGAGACGAGCTCCAGTTCGCACATCGGTGCCTCCAATGTGCCTTGATTATCAGTAATTGTCTGCTTTTCCTTCTTATTTATTAAATCCAGACAATTGGTTGATGAAACATTAATTAAAATCAAGAAAAAAATTATAAAAAAACTAAATTTACTTCTGATTGAGGTCTGTGAAAGTTTTAAAGCAGTCTTTAAGTGCTGCTTCAGAGCGCTCGTGTCCGTCGGAGAACTGTCACGTCTGTAACATTTTTTTTTTTGCTCTGTGAACACGAAAAATAATATTTTATGTTTTGTGGAGAGCCAACCCTTCCTCATCTGATTTGAGCAGTGTAATTCACAGAATTACAAAAAATATATTTTGCCTCCTAAAACGTAAAGATTTTTTGTCACGCATGAATGCTTGTCTATTTCAGGCTAAATATAAAACGCATGTATACCGTATTTTACGCACTTTAAAGGGTCACTTCACCCATTTGCATTAAGCTTTGTATCTTTAGAAACCCAGTCATATTTTTGAATGGTCATGGTTTATTCCCTTATTTTCCCCTGAGATGGGAGAAATAAGGCTTTAAGTGTTTTATTTCCTGCTTATCGTGACGTAAAAATCGTCATTTTGCTTGTTGGGGCATTCTGGGAACTGTAGTTTTTTAAGACAAAGGCGCCCCTTGGTTATTTTCTGTCTTTTCTCGGTCAAGAGGGCACCAAATTAAAAAATTATTTTACATTTCGACTACATTTATGATCCACTTTCAATAAAGATTAATGTTGCAATGGGTGAAATGCTCCTTTAAGGCGCACCGTATTATGAGGCACATAAGATACTGCAGTCAAACGTTTGACTGGATTTGCGTTATGCATCCTGATGTGCTGGGAATGTAGCGAGTGCACGGCGTCGGAGGTGAGGCGTTTATTAATGTGAGCGCGCTGGGGCGGGCACGTAACTTACATTCGCAGCCTGACTCGTATGAGTATTAGAGCCCGACCGATAAAGGATTTTGAAGGCCGATACCGATACAGATATTTTTAGGTTTTAAAATCCGATATTCCGATATATCGGCCGATATTTTATTTATTTATTTGAAACTGGACATGATAGTCACAAATTTTGTCATGCTTATTTGAGTTAAGAGAACTGATGGGGATGTTCTTTTAATTTTTGTTCAAGCAATGTATGTATCGTGACCAACTCAACGAGTTTTGCCAACAGGAACGGTGTAGAGTGCCCTCTGGTGGACAAACCATACAACTCCAACACTCATGACATGGTTCAAGCGTGTTTTGTCCGTTTTTATTTTATTTTTGAAATATTCATTTATCGGCCATTATAACTGCCGATACCGATAATTTGGAAAATGCCCTAATATCGGCCGATAATATCGGTCTGCCGATATATCGGTCTGGCTCTAATGAGTATTCAATGTGCGGCGGCTCGCTGACAGCATCAGCTAGCTGTTTTGAATGAGACGACCCTGTTACTGTGAACGGGGAGCGCTTGATGAACATTCTGTGACGCGCGAGCAGCGCCGGGGACAGTGTGTCTGTTCGTGTGTCTGTTAAGAGTGAGCGCTCGTGAGCGGGAGACACACATAACCTGATTTATACGAGGTTGAACTGGCCGTGTAGTATTCGACTATAACGTTCATAGTCGAATCAGACCTCTCCAAATCGAATCGTCGAATCCTCGACTATTAGAAGTCAGCCCTACTCAGCATACAACAATATCAAATGCTGGTTCCAGCACATGAACCAAAAGTGAGCAATAAAAAAATGACTTATTGGACAAATGCAAAATGCACATGTTCACACTCGATGGGAAGAGAAGAGATCCATGGGCATGTATAATTTCTTTATAACGTCATATTTGCTCTTGTATATACACATCTGTGTTTCAAACCTGGATTTGAAGTCCTGACTCATTTATAATCTTACTTGGGATTAACCAGACATGACTGAAGTGATCAAATCAAGCACACCAGAGCCCATGTTGCCATGCAGCTTGGAAGTTTAACTCTTTCATTCCCAGAGCTTTGGACTTGATATCGTTTTATCAGCCTGGTTGGGCCTTTATGTAGGAGGCCCATCTCATCACAAGTTCCGGATGTTGTCACAGGACAGTAATCCCTCTCGCTCTTCCTGCTGCAGTGCAGAGACGCACAGCTGTGCGGCCATCGGAGAGGGAAATCTCATTTCATGATGACAGTTTATTTTAGTAAGGGATCTAGCCGAGTCATCAAGGAGGATATACAGGGTGTGTCTGAGATGGCTATGAGTCATCGTTTTATAAATGATTTGGGAGGAAAGGGAAGCTGTGTCTGCTGGTCATGGATAAACTGACTGTTTGACAGCCTTTATTTAACCTACACCTTTATTTTTGTGCATTAAACCTTCAATAAGTTTACATTGTTTTTTTTTTTTGTTTTTTTTTTCTAAATGTAGATTAAAATTTAGGTTAGTGTTCTTGTTATACATGTTCTAATAAGAGTAAATGATGCATAATTAACTAACCCTAAGCAAACCCTATTCTTAACCCTACAGTAAATAAATGTTATTTAATATTACTCAGTACTTAAAGGGGTACTTCACCACTGGCAAAATGAGCTTTCAATAAAACTTAGCTGCCTATACAGATACCCGAGAGAAAAGGCTGCTGTCTTCCCATTTGACAAATAGTTAAGAAAACTTCAACACCCATAATGCACTGGGCTTGAAAAAAGCCCTGGAGCTGTCAAAATAAATGTGAATTTCTCAGTCCACGTAATATGAAGAACGAGTAAACATTGCTAATTTACATTTACTACAACATAACCATTCAAAGTGGGTTAAAAATTGGTGAAGGGCAGGTACACTGTAACAAGGACAAAGTGTATCCATAAATTTACAACCAATTCAAAATGTCCTGATGGAAATATGGATTGTGTTAAGACAAAATGATTAATACACACTACGCTTCAAAAAATTTGGGGCTTCTTCAGAATCCATTCTAATATGTTAAATAAGGAACATATTGTTAACAATGTTGAAAACATTTGTGACTTTTTTTTTTTTTTTTTTTTTCTTAGGAATATGAATGAAGTTTATCTGAAATAATTTGTTTTTGGATAAACTCTCAAATCTGGTAAAAGTGTGACTTTTTTTAAAAAACTGAAGTGATACTTGGATTTATTCTTGTTTTATTATATTATTGTTTATTATACAAATGTTATTTTATTTATTTATTTATTTATTTATTTATTTTGTTTTTACCATTTTCCCCAAAACTCAAATGTGATCAATTCGGCTAAACTCCACAGGTTTCCTCCATACAAACTTATATATCAGTTACTTTTTCTCTTTTTAACAAGATTTTTGTTGCATAATCATATTATTTCTCTTGCTGTTTGTGTGTGTGTGTCGCATGTTTTCTGCTGTCAGAACTGCCTATTCAGAGTGTAGTAGCCGACGGAAGGCCAGAGTCTTGCGGTAAGAGTCAATGGGTCACTGCCGCTGCTCGGGAGTTTTGCTGTGGTTTGTGTGTGTGTGTGTGTGTGTGTGTGTGTGAGCCTCATTTTTCCCTTTTATGCCCGCCGGCCTATCAGACTCAACCTGAACCAATCCTTTAGCATGTCTTGGTGTCGGGCTATAAATTGGTGGATTGGATTTAATCAAAGGCCTGTTTAATTGTCAACAATCTCGGTCCTTTTGCATTATTGTGGTTACGTGCTGTGCCTTTTCCTCAAACACCTTAACCTTTTTGCAACAGTCTCTCCGTTACACGTCGTACACTATTATATAGTGAGTTAATGCCTTTTAGTTTTCTTTTAATCTCACGTTATAGCCATCTGTTTGATCTAAGTGAACAGAATGAATGAACAGATGCTTGAAACATTTTATTTAGCCAATTTTTGTGGTTAGTTGACCAAGTGCACCCAGCTCAAGTTGTTCATTAAGAATTGAATTTAAAATAAGCACATCATTTTCATATAGTATTTTGAAAATCAACTTACTAGTTTACTCACACACACGCACACATGCTTATTTTTGCGCATTAAACCTGTGTGAATGTTTTCATGCAAAAATAAGTTTACTTTTTGTCATATAAATGAATAAAAATTGCACATACACTACCAGTCAAAGGTTTTAGATCAGTAAAATTTTTTATGTTTTTAAATGAAGTCTCTTCTGCTCACCAAGGCTGCTTTATTTAATGAAAAAAAAAAATGACAAACAGTAATATTGTGAAATATTATGACAGTTTTCTATTTTAATATATTTTAAAATATAATTTGAAAGCTGAATTTTCAACATCATTACTGTTGCTGATTACACATCATTTTTCAGTGTCACATGATCCTTCAGAAATCATTCTAATATGCTGATTTTATGCTGAAAAAACATAAATTATTATTTTCAATGTTGAAAACAGTCGTGTACCATTTTTCCTCCAAAATTCTATGATGAATAGAAAGTTCAAAAGAACAGCATTTATTTAAAATATAATCTTTTCTAACATCATAAATGTATTTACTGTAATTTTTGATCAATTTAACTCATCCTTGATGAATAAAAGTATTTTCTAATTTCTTTCCCCCAAAATGAAAAAATAAATTCTTATTGACCCCAAACTTTTGAATGGTAGTGATTAATGTTACAAAAGCTTTCCATTTCAGATCAATTCTGTTCTTTTGAACTTTCTATTCATCAAAGAATCCTGAAATAAAAATGTAAAAAACTGTTTTCAACATGGATAATAATCATAAATGTTTCTTGAGCATCATATTATAATAATTTCTGTAGGATCATGTGACACTGAAGACTAGAGTAATGATGCTGTAAATTCAGCTTTGATCACAGGAATAAATTACACTTCAGTATATATTCACATAGAAAACCGCTGTTTTAAATTGTAATAATATTTCACAATATTACTGTTGTTGTTTTTTTGTTTTTTTGTTTTGTATTTTTTTATCAAATAATTGCCTTGGTGAGCAGAAGAGACTTCTTTTAAAAACATAAAAAATCTTACCGATCTAAAACTTTTGACCGGTAGTGTATAATACAATAAAAAGGAGGATTGAAAAGACGCATCTAGGACCGATGTCACATCCATAAAGCAATACAATTCCAATGGCAGGTCTTCTAGTCTTGTTTTATTGAGTGTGGTTGTCACAAATTTGGAGTGCATAGGTTTATCAAGTCCAATGTAATGGCTACACTCAGCCCGAGTGTTTGCGAGTGCATTTGTGTTTCCGTGTTAGCAGCACAAATGGAGAAATCCGCTTTGTAGCCATCACACATGAATGGCTTATGAGCTACACCAAACACTTCATGTAAACACACTGCAGTGAGATACTTATAGACTGTGAGATACACAGTCTGGTGAGATGCTTATTATCTGACGTGTTTTATTTGATTTTTTTTTTTTTAATTTAAACTTCCACTCTTCACAAAAGCAACGGCCATGTAAAAAATGTTAAAAGACATCAGTCAACTAAGGCATAAATCATTCTGTAGTTTCTGCACTATACATTTGCATTGGCAGATCTGGAATAACAATGTGCTTACACACTGAAATATTCAAATTTAAACAAAAAACAAAAAAATATATAGGCTATTATTGTATCTGGGCTGAATAAATCTTAATCTGTGTAGCTGGTACACACGTGTTTTGTATGTTCACAACTCTTTTCTGCTGTATTATGATTTATTTATTTGTAAGTCCTTATAGTTTATTTCATTATTATAAACTTGCGTTTTTAATTTTTTTTTTTAGACGTCAGTGCTGATAGTTGAGGGATTTATTCTTTTCTGAATATGTTTGAAAAATTGGCCCCATTTACTTTATTAATAATACACCTTCCGGATCTTAATGTAAATTGTGATTTATTAGTGCACATTATTCTTTGTAATATTATTTTTTGTAATCTATCAATGTAATGCAATAACTTGCTCCTACTCTAACACCCTTCTGATATATTCTATTTATATTAATTGAAAATATATATTTTTTTTCTTGTTGAATATGTTGTTTCTCTTGGAAATACTTCTGAATACAAAAGTAAAATGGGTTGCAGACTCCGTTTCATCTTGACTTGGATATCTAAAATCTTTCCTATTTCTCTTTGAGCATATTTTCCATTCACACTTACTGTTCAAAAGTTTGGGGTCAGAACAATGTTTTTGAAGTCTCTTATCCTGCATTTCTTTGTGAAATTAATATTTTGAAATAGTAAAACTTTAATTGATTTTAAAATGCTATTGTAATATGCTGATTTGTTGCTCAAGAAACATTGAACACAGTTATTCTGTTTCTTTTGGAAACCATTATGCTTTTTGGGGTACACTGTAAAAAATATATCGTTGGTTTAACTTAAAAAAAATAAGTAAACTGGTTGCCTTAATTTTAAGTTCATTGAAATGGAAAAATTGAGTTAATACAATGATGGAGATTGATTTAATCATCAGAAACTCAAAATATTATGTTATCTGAACTACATAAATTATCTAAGTTGATTTGACAAAAGAAAAAATGTTGTCAATCTTTTTTTTACAGTGTATTCTTTGATGAATAGAAAGAACAGAAGAACAGCATTTGAACAGGATTTTTTGGGGTAAAAATATACAGGTCTTGTCACTTTTGATGAAATTAATGCATAATTGCTGAATTAAAGAATTCATTTAATAAAAAATAAAACAAAGGCACAGACTTTTGAAAAGTAGTGTGTTTGAGTCAAGTCATTTTCTCACATAGACTCCCTACAAAGTCACTGTCATGCCAGAAAAGAAACAGGTTTTTGTTGTTTATGTCGTTTCTAAAGCTCTTTTATGTCTGAGTGCATCTGGCATGCTCAAGGCCTTTTAAGAAATCATTTTCACTGTGTTCACCTTCAGTCTCTCAACCGTTTGGGCTGGTTTTACATAGGCTACACACAACCACTATACTGGATGTGACCGGGAATAACACACTCTTCTTTATCCAGCTCCTTGAGTGCTATTTACCAAGTCCTCATCCTTGCACCCTTCATATCTTTCAATTTCTTTATCGCCCCTATCTTTCTGTCTGTTTGTCTCTTAGGGCTTGTGCAGCGTTGTGTCATCATCCAGAAAGATGAGAATGGCTTTGGGCTGACAGTGAGCGGCGATAACCCTGTGTTTGTACAGCTTGTAAAAGAGGGTAAGAAAGACACAAACAGTGTTGTTCATTGTCCCTGTTTTGCCCTCCATTAAATGCACATGCAGTAGTAGTTTCACAAGTGACTTAAACACACACTTGTCTATTTTAAATATCCAGCCTTAGATAATTATCCAGTTGTGTAACACCACAGTACGGTATAATTACGACACTGACAGTGCTAAATACATAGTTGCTTTTACCAGTTACTAGATTGAGGCAGTGTAAATGTGTATTCAAACTACTTGTGATCGCCCTTACACTGTACTGTGGCCGTATCATGGCACAATGATGGTTTCAGATCAAGGAACTTCTAACTTTAATATTTTTCATTCCAGCCAACCGCATGATCTCTCTTTCTCTTCTTTTCTTTTGCATGTAGATGGAGCTGCCATGCGAGCTGGTGTTCAGACAGGCGACCGGATCATAAAGGTGATGACCAATCAGGGGCTTCACTGTGATGAAGTTCAGATTTATTAATATAACTTCTTGAGGTTCAGTTAAAAACGAGCGTAGTCTGTATGACCAACCCCAGAATCTGTTATTTGGGCTTATAACACAAAAAAGCTCTCCAGGCAGGCTCACCTGATGTCGACAGGATGCCTCGGGTGCCGTGTGCTGCCTCCTGCTGGCGGAATAAAGAAGAATAGATGTGTATATTTCTCTGGTCATACTTAAGAGTTTGGAAATCTTAATATGTCATAATTATGATGTGACGTGCGCTACCGTTCAAATGTTTGGGCTCAGTAAGTGAAGTAGTTTCTTATGCTCACCAAGGCTGCATTTATTTGATAAAAAAAAAAAATTTAAAAACAGTATTATTGTAAAAGACTATTACACTGTAAAAAAAAAATTGTTGGTTTAACTTAAAAATGAAGAAACTAACCTGGTTGCCTTAATTTTAAGTTCATTGAAATGGAAAAAATGTAGTTAATACAATGAAGGAGATTGATTTAATCACCAGAAACTCAAAATATTATGTTATCTGAAGTTGATTTGACAAAAGAAAACATGTGATTACAAATCATGAAAATATTTTTTACAGTGTACAAATTAATATAACTGTTTGAACTTATTTTGAAATGTAATATATTCATGTGATGACGAAGATACACATGATCACATGTGATCACATGATCCGTCACTTTTGATCAATTTAATGCGTCCCTGCTTATTAAAAACAATTCATTTCTACTACCCAACAAAGACAGGAAGCTTTAGTGGAGCATTGGTAAATCCAAATGACGTGATGTTTGGTTTATAATTTATGCTTTGTCTGTGTGTGTATATATATTTATCATGCTGTCACAGAGAATAATGGGAAATGTAGTTGTGCAAAACTCATAAACAAGCTAAATAAAAAGCATTTTCGGCACTATTTTTGTTGCTGGTGCAGAAATAGACAAAGTAACTGGCAATATTGCTCTTAGTGTTGAGTATCATTATGAATTTAATCAGTTTTGTGTTTGTTTGTTTTCCTGCAGGTCAATGGGACATTAGTTACACATTCAAATCATGTAGAAGTTGTAAAGCTAATAAAATGTAAGTAGCCTGTGGCTTTCACTTTAATCATTTTACTGTAGTTATTCACATTTCAAGTGAACAATACTGTGCAGTTGTTGGTTTCCCTGTACAGATAACCTATTTGTGTGTGTGTTTGTTTACAGCGGGCTCCTATGTGGCCCTGACCGTGCTGGGGAGACCGCCAGGCCTGCCTCAGATCCCTCTCTCAGACGGCGAGGTGGAGGAGGGGTCTCTCTTCTCGCTCACTTCCCCTCACTCCCCGGGGCCCATCGGTCCAGACCGCTCCTCTTCTTCCCCCAGCCCCTCGGAGCGCAAACCCACCCCTCTGCCTGTATGGGTAAGAACTCAGTCTTGTCCTCAGATCACCGAAAAACAGCCTTGATCTCCATCAGCCCTCGTTCTTTTTCAATCACAGAATTGTGAGCTTTTTACTACAGTAACTCATTGTGTGTTTGAGGCATCAGAGCAGCAAAAATACAACAGCAGTCACATGCTTTCATACGGACAGTGTTTCGGACAGATAACAGAGCTGTGGCTCTACACTAAAATAATTTCTGGGTTGCTAGATTTGAGTATTTTGAAAGGTTGTTATCAGATTTAATCAAGAACACTTTAAATTGATCAAAAAAGACTTGAAACTTGTAATGTTAGAAAATATTTCTATTTCAACTTTATATTTATCATATACTGAAAAATGTTTGGTCCCACTTTATATTAAGTGGCTTTAAGGACTATGTACTTGCATTGAAAAATAAGTACAATGTATTATTGTGTTCCTGTTGTATTGTAAAACACTTTTTGCTGCTATTGAGGTGTGATACGGGTAAGGTTAGGGACAGGTGTGGTGGTATGGGTAGGTTTAAGCGTAGGTTAAAGTGTAAGGGATGGGTCAGCTGTCTAATAACAGATGTAATTACATAAATTAGTTACAGCTGTAATTACATGCTGATATTTTAAAAATGTAAGTACAATGTAAAAACATGTATGTACACAATAAGTCCATTGTATCAAATTATTTGTTTCAATGAAAGTACATAGTACTTAAAGCCACTTATTTCACATCTGTTTTCAACATTTATAATTATAAGAAATGATTCTTGAGCCAAATCAGGATATTAGAATGATTTCTGTTGTGTGACGCTTAAATTCAGCTTTGCCATCACAGAAATGAATTCAACTTTAAAATATAGTAGAAAGTTATTTTAGGAAAAAAATAATATTGTAATAATATTTAACACAGTATTTTTGATCAAATAAATGCAATTTTTGTGAAAAACATTACAAAATGTTAAATTAAATCGTTACACGTTATTTTGGTCTACTTTAGACATTATACTAATTATAAGTTACTAACTTATTAAGAGACTTTGCATCTACATGCCATAAAACTCTCATAAGCGTGTATGAGTAGACTGTTAGGTTCGGGTTAGTAGAATAAGTTGAAGTAGTTGCAACGTTACTTATAGTTAGCAGAATGTCTAAAGTGGACCGTCAATCTAAAGTGTTACCAAAAATCTTACCAACCACAAACTTTTAAAAGGTATTTTACATTTGTTATTGTGAGTGGACTATTAGAATCTACAAATTAAGCCTACACAAGATGTGTATTGTTATTTTATCTATCATTTTGTTTCTTCAAGAAATGTATTTTATTATTATAAAAGATTGTGTTGCTGATTAAGACTACTTGCAATGTTGCTGGCACAGTTGCTTGACACTTGCAGCACCTATTAATATTTGCAGACCTGTGTAACAGACATTTGGTTTTAAACTGTGGGAAAGTAATGTCTAAATTTGCAGAACTGAAGCTATAATTGTAGACTGACTCATGTGTGGTTAGGACTGTCATTGAGCTCATACATATAAGTGTACATTTATCAAACATGTGATGTTGTGACAGAGTCTGTCTTCAATCTCACATCCTCTCTAACAAGAGATTTGTGAATAATCAGAGGCGCTGTGATGTTTGATAAATTGCAGGCCATGACAGAGGAGTACAGCAGGAACCCTACACCTAAACTACTGAAGGAAAACCAGGACGCCAAGAAGCACATTCCACAGCACCAGGAGCAGCTCAGCAAGCCCACTGGGACTGGACAGGTACAGACTCATATACACGCGCACACACACACACGCTCCCTTCCTCTGACTCAGAGAAATTCTTGATTTAAAAAAAAGTGATATGTAGATGTTAATATATATTAAAAATGATTGTTTCTTGACATTATGAATCGCATTTTTGCTTCCTTTTTTTTTGTGAGGTGAAATATGACGGAGACTTTTCTTCATGAGATTCTCACAATCACTTTTTTCCCCTAAATGTATAATAAATAAGTAACGTGACATTTTTATTAATCAGTAAAACATGTGGAATGCATGACAGTAGCACACATGGAAAATTTCTGGTTCAGCTTCAGTTGAATATTTAGTTATTGTTGTCCAGGGTATGTTTCAATAAACCAAAACCATGAAAATATTATTTTAATAAAATAAACATTATCTATTTTTTTAAATACCCATTTAATTTTAGCTACAACATTTGTCATTTTTGTTTAGTTTAAGCCAGCATGAAACACAAGATAGTAGACTTTTCTTCCCTATTGTGATTCATATTCAAGTGATATACTGTATATATATGAAGAGTTCAGATGCAAAAGCCTCTAAGTGCCATTTGAAATTTTCTTCTAGAATGATCATTTTTATCAAGCTTGTATATTTTTTAAGTGCAGTGATTTCACTTAAATGGCAATGATAATTACCTATTAATTGTTATTTAAGTGAAATTACTGAACTTAAATATACAAGTTTGATAAAAATCATCATTAAAGAAGAAAATTTCAAATGGCATTTAGAGGCTTTTGCATCTGAACTCTTCATATATATATATGTTGTGCATAGGGAATTGATTGGATCATTTTATCATTATGGTTTGCTATTGCTGTGATGTCATGTGAGTGACAGATTGTCCTGACCTCGCACTGAAAAAACATTTCAACAGAAAAGAGAAGAGATGTCGTTGCAAGAGGGAGAGGAAGTTGTTTTGAAAGATTATGAAGCCACATGAATTTAAAAATTAATAAATAATGATGTGCACAGAAATATCATTTATAACTGTGATATTTAATACGAAAAATAAGAATGGCCAAATTTGGTTTCATGGTGACTTTAGGTGAAGTATTAAAATAATAAATAAACTAAAACAACAAAAACTATATTGACGATCATGTTTTAAAAATAATGATAAAAACATCCAACAAAATGACTAAAACTTTAACTAAAATTAAATGTAATTCAAACTATTAACACAAACTAGGATATCAATATAATCATAGCATCAATGATACTGAAATAACACTGGTTTACACCATGCATTAACCAGACGCGATAAGATTACAATGACAGTTAATATGTCTGTCCACGCCAGATGTGACACAGCTACAAGATGCTGCAAACTCGATTACAAAGCCCAGCTAATCAGAAGAGCATGTGGGCGGAGTCTCTCTCTGCAAGTACACTGCTGTCTCACTGCGAAATTGAAAAGTACATAATATTAAAACGTTTTTCAGTAATTTTATTATCTCAAAGCAAATCATCAGTAACAGAACACCATTGAAACCATTAAAAAATAGAATCATTTTTTTTCCGGTTTATCACTGTTAAGCTGCTTTGAAACTGTTGTATAAAGCACCATAGAAATAAAGGTTACTTGACTTTACTATAATCCCGTCTCTTGTGCATTGCTGTCACGAGTGGTTAGGACAAATCAAACATGAAAAAGCCACTTTTTATCGCGTTTTTGCCACACTGTGTCTGGTTATGACACGTTATATGTGTGTATGATTTATGCAAGGTTGGTGAGACCAAATGAAATGCCAGTGTTTTTTTTGTTTTACTTTTTTTTTTCTTGTGACCTGGATGTAAAACTATTCTGAGAAAAGTTACATGAACTTTTTACATGGAAACTTGCTTTTATAAAATGGTGCTTAGCCTCTCACAGTTACTGTCATTATTTTGTTCAATTCTATTCAGTACCATTAGTGGTGTGGAAATTACACTTCACTTTCTAACAAAACGTCATGATGTTACAATCATAATGAGAGTTTGTGTATATTGTAGGATGGCTCCATATCTCCAAGGCCAGGTGAAGGCGAGCAGGAGGATGGAGGGGGAGATTTGGATCGACCCCCTTCCTGGCAGGGTGATGCTGGAACGGAGCCATTGTGGACCAACAATATCACGACCCCTGTCAGTACACCTCCCGAACACATTACCCTTCCCGTTCACATTTCTTGAATGTAGATCTGTGGTTCCTCTATGTAATTGACATTTGCTCTCAATTGCTCCATGCAGGTCACGCCTAGTCCTTTCCTGGAGAGCCCATGCCAAAGAGAGACCCCCTGCCACAGTCCAAAGACCACACCCCGAGACAGCCTCAACTCCTGTCCTTCACCGGATGCCGAAGACACACCTGATCTTGTGAGTGACCTCTTGACCTCATGGCTTTATATGGAGTTTCTCAGAGCTGTGCAAAAATTGTGCATTTCTCGTTTAGGATTCTCAGTCGAGTATGGGGAGCCCCTCCTCTCGTCCGGTTGCGCACATTATTGGTGCTGAGGATGAAGACTTTGACACAGAGCAGGAACAGGTAGGGGTGACTGTGTGCTTCTTGTATTTTTGTACTCGTGGGCTCTCCTCCAAACAATAGTGACTAAGGCCCCGATATACTCATGCTGTAGTTCTCGTTTCTTCTAGTTTTACTCCTTTTCTTATGTAGGCGGATAGAGAACTGTCTGTTGGGAGCGGCGTTTAGGTCAATATATAAATGTATGCCGAGCACTGTCTTCTCAATTACAAATTAAAGACGCAACAAAAATGACAGCAGTGACAGAGAAAATAGAAGTTAAGAAAGCATCTGATCATAGCAACGTGGATCTGTTAGCACCAGCTCAGTCAAGTCACGCCATTTTTATTTATATAGCACTTTATATAATAGATTGCTTTAAAGCAAGCAGCATTACAGTTTTAATATATGGAAGTTTGTTTCCGCCACTGAATAAAAAATTAAATAAATAATTGTGACTTTTTATCTCACAATTCTGCCTTTTTTTCTCACAATTGCGAGTTTATATCTCGCAATTCTGACTTTATTTCTCAGAATTGCATGATAAAAAGTCAGAATTGTGTGATAAAGTCGCAATTGTGAGTTATAAAGTCAGAATTGCGAAAAAATAAGGTCGCAATTGCGTGTTATAAAGTCAGAATTGTGAGATATAAAGTCAGAAATGTGAGATATAAAGTCAGAATTGCGTGTTATAAAGTCAGAATTGCGAGATATAGTCAGGATTGCGAGATATAAACTCAGGATTGCGAGATATAAAGTCAGAAATGCATGATATAAAGTCAGAATTGTGAGATATAAAGTCAAAATTGCGTGTTATAAAGTCATTGCGAGATATAAAGTCAGAATTGCGAGATATAAAGTCAGAATTGTGAGATATAAAGTCAGAATTGCGAGATATAAAGTCAGAATCGCTTGATATAAAGTAAGAATTGTGATATATAAAGTCAGAATTACGTGTTATTAAGTCAGAATTGCGAGATATAAAGTCAGAATTGCCAGATATAAAGTCAGAATTGCGAGATATAAAGTCAGAATTACGTGTTATAAAGTCAGAATTGCGAGATATAAAGTCAGAATTGTGAGATATAAAGTCAGAATTGCGAGATATAAAGTCAGAATTACGAGATATAAAGTCAGAATTGCAAGATATAAAGTCAGAATTGCGAGATATAAAGTCAGAATTGCGAGATATAAAGTCAGAATTACGTGTTATAAAGTCAGAATTGCGAGATATAAAGTCAGAATTGCGAGATATAAAGTCAGAATTGCGAGATATAAAGTCAGAATTGCGAGATATAAAGTCAGAATTACGTGTTATAAAGTCAGAATTGCGTGTTATAAAGTCAGAATTGCGAGATATAAAGTCAGAATTGCGAGATATAAAGTCAGAATTACGAGATATAAAGTCAGAATTGCGAGATATAAAGTCAGAATTGCGAGATATAAAGTCAGAATTACGTGTTATAAAGTCAGAATTGCGAGATATAAAGTCAGAATTGCGAGATATAAAGTCAGAATTGCGAGATATAAAGTCAGAATTACGTGTTATAAAGTCAGAATTGCGTGTTATAAAGTCAGAATTGCGAGATATAAAGTCAGAATTGCGAGATATAAAGTCAGAATTGCCAGATATAAAGTCAGAATTGCGAGATATAAAGTCAGAATTACGTGTTATAAAGTCAGAATTGCGAGATATAAAGTCAGAATTGTGAGATATAAAGTCAGAATTGCGAGATATAAAGTCAGAATTACGAGATATAAAGTCAGAATTGCGAGATATAAAGTCAGAATTGCGAGATATAAAGTCAGAATTGCGAGATATAAAGTCAGAATTGCGAGATATAAAGTCAGAATTGCGAGATATAAAGTCAGAATTACGTGTTATAAAGTCAGAATTGCGTGTTATAAAGTCAGAATTGCGAGATATAAAGTCAGAATTGCGAGATATAAAGTCAGAATTACGAGATATAAAGTCAGAATTGCGAGATATAAAGTCAGAATTGCGAGATATAAAGTCAGAATTACGTGTTATAAAGTCAGAATTGCTTGATATAAAGTCAGAATTGCGAGATATAAAGTCAGAATTGCGAGATATAAAGTCAGAATTACGTGTTATAAAGTCGAAATTGCGTGTTATAAAGTCCGAATTGCGTGTTATAAAGTCAGAATTGCGAGATATAAAGTCAGAATTGCGAGATATAAAGTCAGAATTGCCAGATATAAAGTCAGAATTGCGAGATATAAAGTCAGAATTACGTGTTATAAAGTCAGAATTGCGAGATATAAAGTCAGAATTGTGAGATATAAAGTCAGAATTGCGAGATATAAAGTCAGAATTACGAGATATAAAGTCAGAATTGCAAGATATAAAGTCAGAATTGCGAGATATAAAGTCAGAATTGCGAGATATAAAGTCAGAATTACGTGTTATAAAGTCAGAATTGCGAGATATAAAGTCAGAATTGCGAGATATAAAGTCAGAATTGCGAGATATAAAGTCAGAATTGCGAGATATAAAGTCAGAATTACGTGTTATAAAGTCAGAATTGCGTGTTATAAAGTCAGAATTGCGAGATATAAAGTCAGAATTGCGAGATATAAAGTCAGAATTACGAGATATAAAGTCAGAATTGCGAGATATAAAGTCAGAATTGCGAGATATAAAGTCAGAATTACGTGTTATAAAGTCAGAATTGCGAGATATAAAGTCAGAATTGTGAGATATAAAGTCAGAATTGCGAGATATAAAGTCAGAATTACGAGATATAAAGTCAGAATTGCAAGATATAAAGTCAGAATTGCGAGATATAAAGTCAGAATTGCGAGATATAAAGTCAGAATTACGTGTTATAAAGTCAGAATTGCGAGATATAAAGTCAGAATTGCGAGATATAAAGTCAGAATTGCGAGATATAAAGTCAGAATTGCGAGATATAAAGTCAGAATTACGTGTTATAAAGTCAGAATTGCGTGTTATAAAGTCAGAATTGCGAGATATAAAGTCAGAATTGCGAGATATAAAGTCAGAATTACGAGATATAAAGTCAGAATTGCGAGATATAAAGTCAGAATTGCGAGATATAAAGTCAGAATTACGTGTTATAAAGTCAGAATTGCGAGATATAAAGTCAGAATTGCGAGATATAAAGTCAGAATTGCGAGATATAAAGTCAGAATTACGTGTTATAAAGTCAGAATTGCGTGTTATAAAGTCAGAATTGCGAGATATAAAGTCAGAATTGCGAGATATAAAGTCAGAATTGCCAGATATAAAGTCAGAATTGCGAGATATAAAGTCAGAATTACGTGTTATAAAGTCAGAATTGCGAGATATAAAGTCAGAATTGTGAGATATAAAGTCAGAATTGCGAGATATAAAGTCAGAATTACGAGATATAAAGTCAGAATTGCAAGATATAAAGTCAGAATTGCGAGATATAAAGTCAGAATTGCGAGATATAAAGTCAGAATTACGTGTTATAAAGTCAGAATTGCGAGATATAAAGTCAGAATTGCGAGATATAAAGTCAGAATTGCGAGATATAAAGTCAGAATTGCGAGATATAAAGTCAGAATTACGTGTTATAAAGTCAGAATTGCGTGTTATAAAGTCAGAATTGCGAGATATAAAGTCAGAATTGCGAGATATAAAGTCAGAATTACGAGATATAAAGTCAGAATTGCGAGATATAAAGTCAGAATTGCGAGATATAAAGTCAGAATTACGTGTTATAAAGTCAGAATTGCGAGATATAAAGTCAGAATTGCGAGATATAAAGTCAGAATTGCGAGATATAAAGTCAGAATTACGTGTTATAAAGTCAGAATTGCGTGTTATAAAGTCAGAATTGCGAGATATAAAGTCAGAATTGCGAGATATAAAGTCAGAATTGCGAGATATAAAGTCAGAATCGCGTGATATAAAGTCGGAATTTTGAGAGAAAAAAGACAGAAGGGCGACTTTTTATCTCACAATTCTGACTTTTTTTCCTCACAATTTCTGACTTTATAACACAATTGTGAGTTTATATGTCGAAATTCTGACATCTTTTCTCAGAATTGTGAGATAAAAACTCCCAATTGCGAGTTATCAGGCTAATTCTAAGGGGAAAAAAGACTAACTTTTTTTCCCCTCAGAATAGTTTAAATCTCACAATTCTGACTTTATATCATGCATTTCTGGCTTTATAACATGCGATTGCGACTTTATATCTAGCAATTCTGACTTTATATCTCGCAATTCTGACTTTATTTCATGCAATTCTGACTTTATATCTCGCAATTCCGACTTTATAACACGCAATTGCGACTTTATATCTTGCAATTCTGACTTTACATCTCAGATGTAAAAAGTCGCAATTACCTTTTTTTTTTTCATTTTATGGCAGAAACAAGCTTCCTCTTTCCCAGCGAGCGTAAAAAAAGAAAGAAAGAAAAGTTACCAGCTAGCGCCAGACCTTTTGATTATTTTGACAAAACTTTCATGGCCCCCAGAATATTTTGTTGAATATTTGAATGTATGAATATTCGAATGTATTCAAACATGTAATGAATATTTGAACATTTGAACAATATTTGAAAAAAAAGATAATTAGCTTCATGCATTATTTTTTTATCAACACTTGAATGTGGGTAGGTTTCAATAAAAAGCAACATTTTGAACAAAAAGCTGAGAAAGACTGCATCTGAATCAGATTCAGAAGGATGATTAAAACATAGACTTGAGTAGATTGAGTCCATCAAGACCCCCAAAGCTCGATTTATAGGGTGTTGAATGTTTGATGATTGTGTCAGCTTACGTATGCATAAGCAAAGCTTTTATCGCTTGTTTTTGTTTCTTTTTCGCTTGTTTTTGCATCTGGAGATTCTGTACTCTTCAGGAGATGAGTAATAGCATCCCCTACCATACGTATAAGTGAAAACATTGATTGCCAGAAAATATTGATTGTCATTCATAGTAATGAGTTAACTTTTTCGGGGTATATAGACTATAGTATTTCACACTTCTACTTCACTCCCATTAGAAGTTGATGCATCCCCCCACACACTTTTCCAGCAACGCTGTTTATGAGGCTTCCTTTCAGGATAGATGTTGCCTTAGAAGATAACAGACTATGTAAACAGTTTATAATGAGGAGACTCACTAGATTTGAATTTATTCATGGAAAATGGCAAACACTTTTACACAGTTACATTCACAATACCACATGTAAGTTTGCCACTGAATCATGAAGTTTAATGATATAAGAATGTGTGCTTGCCTTGTACTGTAAATAAGTCTCTCTCTGTCTCTAGATGAATGGCCAGTGTAGCTGTTTTCAGAGCATAGACCTCCTGAAATCCCGGCCTGCTCACCTAGCAGCTTTTATCCATCATGTGGTCTCTCAGTTTGACCCTGCGCCTCTGGTGAGATCGATCACCCCTCTTACCCGCAAACCCTCTCACAAGAACCTGGAATTTCCAGGCATCTAACAAAATATTTATAAAGGATTTTCCATATTCAATGAATCTCTCTTGCATGCTTATAATTTGGTCTCAGATCAGATGAGTCACATCACTAAAGCGCCTCTCATCTCCCTTCTCACTTCGCAGCTGTGCTACCTCTATGCTGAACTTTACAAACAGACCAGCTCCAAAGAGACACGACGAATCCTCATGGATACCTTCTTCATAGACAAAACAGCTGTGAGGGACCTTACCACTGGCTCAGATTCTTTAGCTTGTCTTAGATGATGTGATCTCTGACTAAGCTGTATTTTGTTTTTAAACAGAGCTTGAAAGTAACAGTACCTGAATCCATCATCACTGACCTGGGTTAGTTCAAACCTCTAATAAACTCTAAATACATTGTTTAATCACGTATATCACTTACGTTATAAAATGATAGGCTGATAAAAATGTTGTGCAAACCCAGACCTTCAACTTAAAATCTCATCGTTTCATAGAAATGTTTTAGGACCAACAAAAAAGATGATCCAGTAATATTTCCTACTTGAATAAATCATATTAAACATGGGGTTTGTCTGAATGCTAATTGGGGAAATGCTAATTCAGATGTAATGTTATAGTATCTGCAATTATAATCTAGGATGTTACCAACAAATTCCTCTCTCATAGGGATTGATACTGATAAGTCAATGATTATTTTTCTGTTATGACTGAAAACCTATAAATTACCTATAAAATACCAATATTATAATGGTAACACATTACAATAAGTTTTCTTTAGTTAACATTTAGTAACATAAAGTAAGAATGAACTGCATTTTTACAGTATTTATTAATTGTAGTTAATGTTCATTTTGGAAATAAAATCAAAAGTTGTATTTGTTAACATTAGTTGATGCACTATGAACTAACATGAACAAACAGCTGGATTTTTTAACTAACATTAACAAAGATTAATAAATACTGTAACAAATGTATTGTTCATTGTTAGTTCATGTTAGTACATCAACTCATTTTTTACAAGTGAAACCTTATTATAAAGTGTTACCATTAGATTGCATATCTTTTAACAAAAATAAACTAAAATGTAACAAAATAATGCTGAATTTATATACACAATATCTTTCTGCATAGGTTAGTGCTAGATATTGAAAGTTATTTAAATCTGAAATAGGGCTGTCAAACGATTAATCGCGATTAATCGCATCCAAAATAAAAGTTTGTGTTTACATAATATATGTGGGTGCACTGTATATAATTATTTTATATATATAAATACACACACATTCTTGTATATATTTAAGAAATATTTTCATGTATATGCTGTATATGGATTTAGATATAATTTATATTATATATAAATATTTTATATATAAATAATATTTTTTTCTTAAATATACATGCATGTGTGTGTATTTATATATATACAAAATAATTATACACAGTGCACCTACATATATTATGTAAACACAAACTTTTATTTTGGATACGATTAATCGTGATTAATCATTTGACAGCCCTAATCTGAAAATAGACAGAAGGCATTAATTAATTAATCTGCACCATGTTATTTATCAGCTGATATCCATTGAGTTTGTGTGTTTGATTGTTTTTTTTTTAATCATTTGGATATTTATTGACTGGTATTGGATGGTTTATTGATAAATGAAAAAATCGTCAGATTAACAAAAAAATATGTCGTATTACCAAAATGATGCTGATATATTTCTTTATTTGTGTCTTTATTTTTTTTAAGTCACCCATCTCATTTGAATTATTTATGCGTTTACGTGAATATAGAGCGGACTGCACACTCAATTAATGCAGAACGGAAGAGGCCGGAGCCCATCTCAGAGGATGTCCACCGACAGTACGTGCAGCAGCTGCAGGACACACTTCTACCTGACATTCAGAAGAACCTAGAAGACTTCAGGTAAAATGCACTCATCTAATCCACACAATCTACGACTCCAAATGTATCAGCACAAGTGTCAGTGGAAACCTTCTCCACCAGTATGTTCTCTCATGTATTAATTGTATGTTTTAGGCAAAAGCGCAGTATGGGTCTGACGCTGGCTGAAGCGGAACTAGCCCGTCTGGATACGGAGAGAATGAGAGACCGGGTGGCTCCCGAAAAAGAACGAGCCTGTGCAGAGCACATCATCTCTAAGATAGAGGATGTACTGTAAGTGCACATATCTGTGGTGACATAGCCTATATATGTCAAAATAGTTTTTTTTATTTATTGTCTCAGTGATCTGTAGTGTGTGACCGCCAACCTCACAATCATTTACATACCCCTTTTCTCATAAGTTTTCATAGCCTTTGCAGAATTTTTAAGATGCTTACCATTATAAACAAAAAAAAAAAGTACTGCTCAGAAGAAGCTACCTAAAGTATATTGTACTGTCAAATAGCTTTATCAGTCAGTCTCCGATTTAAAAAATATAATTATTTCTCATATTTCAGCTGGAGCCATCTTGGGTGCTGCTCTTTCATAATTTAATATCCTTTTGCACTGATAGACAATTAATTGTTACCATGACTAAATCTTCCACTACTCTCACTCAGGGTGTCCCACAGGGCTCTATTCTTGGTCCTCTTCTTTTCAATATTTACTTATTTACCCCATGGTCATATAATCTGCTGTCATAGTCTCAGATACCAATGTTATGCTAATGACCTACAACAAATTTGCTTATTCTGCCACAACTCTTCTTCATTATTTATATATAAGTATATAAAAGTAAGCTTCCCCTTTTTTTTAAATGTGAAATCCATGTGGGTAAATTTGTAGATAGCTTTTTACAGGAAAAAGAGTTCCTCTTATTGTTAATGGCTTCAAGCAGTTCACGAGTAGTTAAAACTTTTCTCCCAGTTTGTTTGAGCTCAATGTGAGACCAAATATTCACTATTAAATCTGGACTTTTTGACCAGAAACAAACAAAACAAGCAATAAACAATTTGGGCCTGGAGCATTGTCTTGTTGGAAAATAACATCTAATCATTCTTCTTTACATATCAACTTGTCAATTGTTTGTGGAAAGCATTTATTATTAAACTTCTCGCCAGATATTCAAAGTCATTGCTTTGGAGCGTGTAACATTGTGATTCATCAATGAATCCACACAGCTCTGCTAAACCACTCTGAATCTAACGTCTAATATTCTGCCAAACATTTTGGAAAAATGGCCTTGGCCTATTTGTATATATTTTTTTTTTCCTTTCGAGGCAGTTCAATATGTAAACTTAGCATAACTGTATATGTCATTAGTCAGATGAAATATAGAAAAATAGAAATGAATTCTAGTATTATGCTAATTTTTGACATGGTTTACAAAATCATCACAACTGGGTTGACATTTTAAGCCTGTTCCTGACTGATAAATATAACAAAAATAAAGATAATGTTAAAGAAAAGAAGCATTTATTTATCTTATCTGAGTCCACTTCCTAAATTAATAGTGATGTCATTTTTACCAAATTTTTGGAATGGTAGATTATTTTAAGAAGGGTTCACGAATGACATATTCATTGTTGGTCATTATTTACACTTATATTGGACACAACAGGATCCCATTTGACCCAAAGATTGACTGAGATTAAACATAGCTTAAAATGATAGCATTGACATTAAGCTAATTGTTATTATATCTTTAGATTTAATCCAAAATGGGTGATTTTTTTTTACACAAGATACTATTCAAATGAGATGTAAAACTGAAAGTTGTCTCTCTCACACTTCAATAAACACTTCACTTATGTTTTGTTTCAGACTGACGTCGCAGGCCACAGAGGAAGATAAGTGGTAAGGGGAATTCTCATGTCCTCTCTCTTCCATGAACGACATATTACATCACACTAAATTAACCCCCGAAGCACTGTCCAGACTCATAGGCTGAATCTAAATCCAACGTCACACTAAAAGTCCAAGTACTTAATAAAGCAGTACAGTTTTACATTATTTCATAAACCCGTATACTGAAAACTTCAAGTGTTAATAAGCTTTTAAAGGCAAAACTAGCTACTAGTTCTGTAGTTTCCTTCCCACCAGTTTTAGCTGCAATCTTGTGAGTGGTGTGTAGTTGCAGCATATGATCGGCCAGGAGCACATATGGGTGGCAACAGCAGGGACTGAGGCGTTGTGTGTCCGCCCAGATGGCTCACAAGAGACTGGAGCCTCATGAAGCCTCTGACAGGAGCTTGTGAGGGCTATTTCTGCTCTGGCACTGACTGCAGTTACGCATTGTACAAGTCATCTGTTTGGCTTGTAAGTGTTTGTGAGAACAGCTTTGTAAGTTCTTCGGCTGGGGTCCTAGCTGTCAGAATAATTTTCTGCGCACTGTGAAGTATTTCAACATGGACTGAACCGAGCACTTGCTCCCCCTGCTGGAAATGACACAGTCACATGTCAAAGGATTGATTAGTGCGTTTTTAGCTTAATGATCCAACATCTGGGTATTTATACAGATATAATAAAGTAACATGAATGCAATACTATTCTGTATACTTCAAGTCGGGGATTTGAACAAATTACAAGTATTAAAGGTGTAGTTCACTCAAAAATTAACAATTAACATTTTTACTTTTGTTCATCTTTGGACCACAAACGAAGATATTTTTATTTAATTTTTAGATTTCTGTCCCTCCATTGAAAGCTACGCAACTACCAATTTGACGCTCTAAAAAGTTCATAAAGAGTTGTAAAACTAGTAGTTTATTCCAAATTTTCTAATGAGACTCATTCTACTTGATATGATGAACAGAAATTGAATTTAGGCTTTAGTTGCGTGGACTGTCAAGGGAGAGAGAAATCTCTTAGATTAGATTAGATTTAAAAATGTCTTCATTTGTGTTCTGAAGAAGATTGAAAGTCTTGCAGATTTGGAATTAAAATTTTTTGGGGTGAACTATCCCTTTAAATTTCTCTCATTCTGTTATTCTCTCTCACAGTACCACCATGCAGTTTGTCATATTGTCATATATGAAGCAGCTCGGCGTAAAAGTGAAGGAGTCTCGAGGGCTGGAGCACAAGCCCAAGCTAATGAATCTTTTCCCTAAGATAAAGGTACAATCTCTCAGCAAAAATCATCTCCAAATGACTCCATGAAACCAAATAAACTAAACCAGTGTCTCTTTGCTCCTTAATCAGAAAAGTATAAAGCCTGAGAAAGATGGAAGTGAGGAGAAATCAAAGAAAACACGGTTTCCTAACGTTTTTCCTCAGAGACGGCCGAGCAGGGTTGATCCTTCACGTAAGTTGATGGTTAATTTAATGAATAATTACATCAGTGGTTCTCAACATTTGTCCAACACAAATATTTGCAGGCCCCCCATTTTGACTAACATCATTTCGTATGTTGTTTCTGCTCTAATTGACAAGACTGACTTTTTTTTATCAACGGACAATTAGAGTGTTGAGATATTTAAAATGAACCATTCATTTTGTTATTCCAGAAATACAATATTAGTGTACATCTTTAATATTATAAGTGAATTTAAAAAGGCTTTAAAGGGATGGTAAAGTATGATTTCACTTAAGTTAGTGTGTAATGTTGCTGTTTGAGCATAAGTTACAACGCTCCAAGTTCAAAGCAAAGGAAGATATTTGCTTTTAAAGAAAAGGACTACAACAAACGGCTGGTAGGGACTACACAACATTCCTCCAGGGTTAGTGACATCAGCAACCCCAAAATGTTTATAAACTCAGCCCCCGGGAACACTCAGTCCATGTTGAGAGGAGGAAAAGTTGTTGTATAAGAGTAAATTTGTGATTCAGCTCAAACTTTAGCATCCATTTTTTCACATGCAATAGAAAGTCACTCTGTGGGCATCTCAAACAGTTCCTATATGGGCGATTTATAGATTTCCATGACAGAATATCCTAATTGAAGATAGTTAATTTCACATCAGCAACATAAATGCATCAACTAACCATTCTGAGACGTCCTGTTGTATTCTACATATTGTCACTTCTTCTTGAGTATCTCCATCTTTGACTGACTCCGTTTTAACATTAAATGGAGAACCGTTTCTGTCATTTTATGTGTTTGCGTGAGGTAATCGCAGCTGCTAACACACACTAGCTCTTGAAACCCCGCCCTCTGCTGCAGCTCATTTACATTTAAAGGGGCAGACACAAAACGGTGCGTTTTTGCAAACCCTCAAAAAGTGACAACTTTAACATGCTATATAAAAATATCTGGGGGGTATTTTGAGCTAAAACTTCACACACACACTCAGGGGACATCAGAGACTTATTTTACATCTTGTGAAAATTGCATTTTACCACCCCTTTAAAAAAAAAAAAAGAGAGAGAAAAAAAATCTACCATCATTTCCCTGAAAAACAAATATTTCTTTCAGTTTTTGTTATGGTGAAATTTGTGTGTGGTATAATTCAGTTCCTTGTGAAGTGATCGTGGGTTTATTTAACTTCTCTATTTGTGACCAGTTTTTTAAAGGCAACTACCTATTTGAAGAGACTTGAAGAGACACTTGCCATTTAGGATTGGATTATTTTTCTACTGCTGTGTAGTTTTTGTTTGTTGCTGGTACAACACAAGCATTTTAGATACCTCTAAATGTTTCATTTTCGATAGCATAGCAAAAATTCCTAGCACAACTATTGTAAAGTTTAAACACAAGACGAAAAAACAGTCAGTAATAAACAAATTAGAAGCAATAGTACAAAAAAATAAAACAAATAATAAATGTTTTTTTCAGGTAGGGCTATTCGGGTAAGAAATACTACAGAAGTTAAAATGGGGTGATTTAAAAGTAAAAAGACTGCACATTCTTCACTCAATTAAATATATTTCTCCTTATTATAAATATTGTGTCCCAACTCTTTACATCCACATTTCTCAGACAATTCTGTCAGCTGTCTTTAATGTCTAGCACTGATACTGATTTTGTTCTCTCTCTGTCTCTCGCCCTGCAGTCAGACAGAGAGAGGCTCTGGAGCCGAGGCAGCGTATGACAAAGCCTCAGCTGCCGTTGGGCACTGGAGAGCAGACAGACGGGTCGTCTCTTCCCATACGGGTCAGTCAGTCTAGTGAGGGCTCAGATGGCAGCACTGCCTTGGTCACATCACCTCCTTACAGCGCTCCAGCAGCTCCAGACGGCATCAGCCGAGAGTCTGAAACTGGTGAGAGACTCTTCTCGAATCATTGTTGTCAAGCGTCTTTGGTCCAAAGAAACCATTTATTTGGTTTAAACCAAATAAGAGGCGATCTAGCGCTAACGTGTGTTGGTTTTTTAATCAAGTGATCATGTGCTCGTTGCCTCTGCGATCAGTGGCGCGGATGCAGTGTTCTGTTGTGGCTAGCGCACGCACCGCAATGTCTTCAATCCGTTGTGGAGATTTTATTCGTTCCGGTGAAATCACAAAACAGCTTTGTGTGAAAATCAACTGTGGGAGCAATTGTAAGAAAATGAGAAGACATACAAGACCACTGATAATCTCCCTCGATCTGAGTCTCGATGCAAGATCTCATCCCTTGGGGTCAAAATGATCATGAGAACGGTGAGCAAAAATCCCAGAACTACACGGAGGGACCTGATGAATGACCTGCAGAGAGCTGGGATCAAAGTTACAAAGGCTACCATAAGTAACACACTACGCCGAGAGGGACTCTAATCCTGCAGTGCCAGGCGTGTCCCCCTGCTTAAGCCAGTACATGTCCTGGCCCGTCTGAAGTTTGCCAGAGAGCATATGGATGATCCAGAAGAGGATTGGGAGAATATCATGTGGTCAGATGAAACCAAAATAGAACTCTTTGGTAAAAACTCAACTCGTCGTGTTTGGAGGAAGAAGAATGCAGAGTTGCATCCCAGAACACCATACCTACTGTGAAGCATGGGGGAGGAAATATCATGCTTTGGGGCTGTTTTTCTGCAAAGTGGACAGGAAAACTGATCCATGTTGAGGGAAGTATGAACTGGCCATGTATCGTGAGATTTTAAGCCAAAGCCTCGTTCCATCAGTGAGAGCCTTGAAGATGAAACGTGGCTGGATCTTCCAGCATGACAATGATCCCAAACACACCGCCCGGGCAACGAAGGAGTGGCTCCGTAAAAAGCATTTCAAGGTCCTGGAGTGGCCTAGCCAGTCTCCAGACCTCAACCCCATAGAAAATTTGTGGAGGGAGTTGAAAGTCCGTGTTGCCTAGCGACAGCCCCGAAACATCACTGCTCTAGAGGAGATCTGTATGGAGGAATGGGCCAGAATACCAGATGCAGTGTGTTTAAACCTGGTGAAGACTTACAGGAAATGTTTGACCTCTGTCATTGCCAACAAAGGTTATGTAACAAAGTATTGAGTTGAACTTTTGTTATTGACCAAATACTTATTTTCCACCATAATTTATAAATAAATTCTTTAAAAATCCTTCAATGTGATTTCCTGGATTTTATTTTTTCATTTTGTCTGTCATAGTGTACCTATGATGAAAATTATAGACCTCTTTTATTATTCTAAGTAGGAGAATTAGCAAAAATCAGTGGCTGACTAAATAGTTTTTGGCCCCACTGTACATGATATGCTAAATTAATAACCAAGCTGACCATGTAAACGTGAGTATCGGCTGAGAAAATCATCAGCATTTATTTTCTTGGTAACACTTTACAATTAGGTTCCATTAGTTACATTAGTTAACAACAAAAATACTTTTAAAGCATGATGTACTAATACGTAAATCAAATCAAAAGTTGCATCTGTTAATATTATTTAAAGGACCCCTGGCTGCTACAATGAGCAGTTGAATGTTTTATTACTAATGTTACCAAATAAATTAATTAATTCTGGAACAAATGTATTTCTTACTACGTTAGTTATTATATTAACTAATAGGACCTTAATGTCATTTTTTTTCTCTACTGTTATGGTCCCTTTCATTATCTGCCCTGAGTGATTTCTCTTCCTCTCTTTTCTTCAGTATTTCCCCTTTTTCTCCAGAAGCTGTATTATAGAAACATCCTATCTGAATTCCTGATTTAAATATGGAAAAAGTTACCAAGTGAACTATGATTACTAAACAGACAAGATATGATTCTTAGTTAGGATGTTTATGTAATACAGCCTCAGGTTTGTAATTAGATGTTTTTATTTGTTTTCTTTGTCTGAGCTCTCCTGGGTAATCGGGGTCACGGCTCAGATCTGCTGACTAACCCTTTTCAGAACATAATTGGCCTGTTCTTCTTAAAGGAGAACTCTGGCGCAAAATGAACCTCTGGTCTAATAACACACATTGGTACCTAGTCAACTGTTCTCTGAGATTTGTTTTCATGATAATCGAATGTAAAGAGTTTTATCTCTAAAAACTGTTTAGCGTATAATGCTAGTAATGGGGGCATTTAATAAGTAAAAAGAAATCGCTAGTTAATACCACTAACAAGGCTCAAAATAGCCCCACACTAACACAGTAACGTAATGAGGCTCCCTACAGACAGGAGCCATCTTGGAAAACAGACTCGACAATTCGAACCACGAACGCGTTTCGTACAGTTCAGAAGTTCGCTGAACTTCATACAGTTCAGCTAACTTGACACGTCGACTGTTTTCCAAAGATGGACCCTCAGTATGTTACTGTGTTAGTGTGTTTACATTAGATTATCATGAAAACAAATCTCAGAGAACGGTTGACGAGGTACCAATGTGTTACTAGATCAAACGGTTCATTTTGCGTTTTCATTTGGAGTTCTCCTTTAAGTTGTCAAATTATGCCCACATTTATAGAGAATAAATTTTCCTGTGTGTGTCAATGGGAAAAGCCATTTCATTGTCTGTATAATTTGACAAAATTATTAGACATCTGTCCTTAACTTCGGCTGCACTTTATTTCAGTGCTCCACTTTAGACAATCAGCTATCTATAAGTAACTTTGCAACTACATGTTAACTGTAGTAGACTGTTAGGGTTGCGGTTTGGATTAGTAGAATACATTGACATCTAGTTGCAAAAATACTTATAGTGAGTAGAGTGTCTTTTGTGGGAGCATTAACAATAAAGTGTTAGCATATAATCACACAGACAGTCTACTAATACTCTAATGACTGCTAGTTAACTGCGACTGCGAGTTGCAAACTTACTAATTGTTAGTAGAATCTCTGAAGTGGATCATCAAAATAAAGTGTTACTGCTCCTTCAATTTAGCACTGATTTCGTGAGCATTTCTTTTCTGACACATTGTACGTCTCTCTGACTCTGGATTAGGTGGACTTCCTTTATCTGCACAGGCCAGAATGGGAGAGGGTTCCATCCCAGGAGATTCGCAGGACTCCTCCTCTTCAAACACTCACTTTGACTTCAGCCCCTGCACACTGGAGCATCTACAGGAAGAGGAAGCTGAGACAGACAAGTGAGTCAAAGGGATCACCTAGACTAATTTTAATAAAATTGATCAAATTTCATCTGTGTTCCATTTGCTCAGTCAGTATCTTGTATGTCCTCCTCAATGTGAAGCGTGTGACGCTGCATATAATTTGCACCCTGAAAAGAGGAAAAATCTGCTATTTCATACTGACTGGTTTCCCCCCCTAACAATTTGATTGGATAAAACCACATTTAAATATTATTTCCTGTTCAGACTTCAAAAACCGAAACAGGTTTGATCCTGAACTACACTACCATTCAAAACCTTGGGTCAGTTTTATTTATTTATTTATTAAAATAAATTCAGCAAGAATACATTCAATTGATGAAGTGTCTGTAAAGACATTAATAATGTTACAAAAGACTTGCTGTTCTTTTGAACTCTCTATTCATCAAAGAATCCTCAAAAAATAATCAGTTTCCGCAAAAATATTGTTTTCAACTCTGATAAAAACAAGTAATGTTTCTTAAGCACCAAATAAGCATATTAGAATGATTTCCGAAGGATCACGTGACACTGAAGACTGGAGTAACAATGCAGAAAATCCAGATTTGACATCACAGGAATAAGTTACCTTTTAAAATGTATTAACACAGAAATAAATAAAAATGGTAATATTATTTCTTGAAATTATGGTTTTGATTTTTCAACAAATAAATTTAGCCTTATTGAACATAGAGACTTCTTTCAAAACATCTCACCAACCCCAAAACTTTTGAATAGTAGTCTATATAATCCTGTAGAATTATACATCCCTGTGCTTTGCAGAATTATGCCTCCAAAACATTTATGTGCATTGAATTTGGATTTTGGTTAAAAGCCGAGCAGTCGTTGTTTTATAATCAGATAGTTTACAGGCCTCACAGCTAATTTTGTTCTTTATGTCTCTGTTGAACAAAGCATTGCTCTGTGTTGCTGTCCTCTGTAAATGATCTTATTGGGACAGACACAGAGAATTAAGCTTGTGCCTCATGACTGGGGCTCCTGAGGAGAGAAAGGGAATGCTGACGACATGCGGTTTTGGTGTGTTGGGATTGTCACTATTGTAGGGTAATTGGAATGTGATTTACCTTACAGGACGCTGGACACCGGCACTCCTAGGCCTGACCGGAGGTGAGAGCTCTTTGCTTTTGTGGTCGACCAGAGTGGGTTTTTCAGTGGTCGATGCTAATATCATCTCTTGGCCATTAATAACAATAACATGAACAATATGGGCAACAAACTGATTATTCACATATATAATATGTAAATAAAACATAAAAAAATTAAAATCGTTCTAAATTCTAGTCGTAATTTAGCACTTGCGGCTATTTCATTACACCGTGTCCTAACTACACACGGCGCGATAAAATTACAGCGACAGCAAGTGCGTCTGTCCACACTAGACGCGACGCGACTATGAGATGCCACACATTCAGAACAGCGTGTGAGCCTATGGTGTGAGCAGAGTCTCTTTGTGGAAGCGCACTGCTGGCCCGCACTCGCATTGGAAATGGGTAAGGACATAATCAAATCAAGAAATAACATTATTAAAAATCAAAACATTAACAAAATATACTCATTGACTAATTTTGTTATGAAGTACAGTTGTATGACTCCGATTAACATGGAAAAGATACCTTTTATCGCGTGTCGCGGCGTCGCGTGTGGTTAGGACACGGTGTTAGATTGAAATAAAATAATGTGAATTTAAGTGGCTGTAACTAAGTTCAAGTTCAGGGACGAATTAGGCGAACATTAAACGTAACTTTAATCATGAATTAGAGAAACGAAAGGGGTGGCAGCGGCGACTGCGGAATATAAGCATAATAAATATCAACGCAAAATGTCCAAAGCCCTCGGCCTTAGCCCTGCTTCAAAAATGTTTTCATTTAGTAAAAAAGAGCACTTTTATTGGACAAAAAAACAAAACAAAAAGGAATGTTTGTTGTAAAGGAATTGTTATATTTTCATTTGATAACAATTAAAGCTACACTGTGTGATTTTTACCCCATCTAGCGGTGAAACGGTATATGACCATCCAGTGAATATTAGTTTCTGTTCCTCTCAATTCTGATTTCGTTTTAACTCCTACGGTGGCCAATGTAGTCCAAGATTAACATGGCTTCCAGTTCGACCTCGTCCATGAGTGTTAACTCAAACGTAAACGCGAAAGGCGAAGCTTGAATTAACAGGTGTGTCCCTCTTTGGCTAATGTACTTTCAAGATGGAGGGTCAGCATGGCGACCGACATTATGTATTTTTCAGTGGCATATTATACACTCACGAGAATACTTTATTACTTGAACGAAGTAAATATACATTAATGAGCACATATATTTTTGAAAGAACAAAGTGTTGTTAGCTAAGAATAAACTAAAAGATTTACACAGTGTAGCTTTAAAAAGATTGATTAAATTGATAAAAATGGATACATTTATTTGAATACGACATTGAATACACAGAATCCAGTAAAATTGCATCAGACAATACAGGATTTAGGAAAAAATAAAATAGAATTTGGGGGGAAAGCCTATTATTATTAACATTTTAATAAAATGATTAATTTGTTTAAGTTTCATTCATTGAATTGATTAGATGTGCATTTGATGAACATGTTTCGTCATGGTTTGTACAGCAGGACGGATCCGCTGGGCTCTGGAGAAGTGCAGAGTGAGGATGATCAGTGTGTTGAGGTGGAGCTGGAGCCTTCTAACTGGCAGACACTGGTGAGCAGAGACGTCCTGTCCACACTTACCCCTCAGGAAATCAAGAGACAAGAAGTCATCAACGGTGAGCGACAATTGTGACATTTGTTTGGGTCATTGACCCAGTTCTTAATTAAAAAAGGGCAATCATAACCTATTACAGTTCATTTTACAATGTACTGTTGCCGGTCGGCAGGCGTTAATGAATCGCAATATGACATTTTTGTCATTCAAATACATACGATGGTCGCGGTGCTTTCCCCCACGCCCCCCAACTATGATGCGTTGCCGACTGTGTGTATGGAAGGGTAATGCCTTACTCTCTACGCCACTGCTCCTGTTATCGGTGTGATTTATTTTGCAATTTTGTCTGGTTCAATCAGATAAGGTAGGCGGAGTCAGTGTAAATAGCCTCTGCCAACAAGGCGGGCTATCTGCACTTGGTGTAAATAGACACTGAAAATGTATTTCCTTACATTATCCCAGGAAAAAGTATTCTGATCTCAACAGTTTGTAAGCATACATTCAGTTTGGGAAGCCTTTTTACTTGCTCGGGGGTAATTTACCAGTGCAAACCATCCTGTGTGACCGCTTCATCCATGTCATTGCTTTCGCAGAGCTGTTCTACACTGAGAGAGCACACGTTCGGATGATGAAGGTCCTGGAGAATTTGTTTTACCAGCCGCTGATCAGAGACTCCATCCTGCCTTCTGCAGACATCAAAAGCATCTTCAGCAACCTTGAGGAGATCGTTCATCTGCACAGTAAATCTGACAAAACTTCATAGATCTGTTAAATCCTTCAAAACCCTTCCAAAAGCATGCCTTCTAAACACTGTCTTCCTTGTTTTCTCACTTCAGTGTCTCTAACGGAACAGATGGCCGCTGTTCGGAAGAAGAATGAGACGGCGCTCATTGACTTGTTAGGAGACGATTTGCTTTCCTGGGTAAGAAAGGAAGAGATACAGCAGTTAGTTAGAAACAGGGCACAGTAGCATGAAAAATTGTTAATGTGAAGTTGTCATGCAGACCCGACTACCTGTAGTTCGGTTGCACTGGAACTGTGGTGATGAGATTTACCTTGAATACGAGTGATGAGAGTGCAGTGCAAAACCAGGCTGTACTACTTGACTTCTGAAAATGGTAGCTGGTTTGTTGCTGTTTCAAAGTGGCTGATCTAAACCAACTTGAACAAGCCGACGACCAATTCGACAATGAATGAGTAGCTTTGGCCAGCTAGGAATTTACCAGTAAATGTGTCTTTACCCACAGTTCAGTGGGGAAGAAGAGGCGAAGATCAAGAGAGCTGCGGGCACGTACTGCAGTAATCAGCCTTTCGCCCTGGAACTCATCAAGAGCAAACAGAAGAAAGACCAGCGCTTCAACTCCTTCATTCAGGTCAATGGCTTACTAGTCCAGTGGTTGCTTTCATAATTGTTTGTAACTCTACTTGCTGTCGGTTGTGTGTGTTTCATGTAAATGTCATTTTCATGTTGAAGTGTTTTTGTATTGCAGGAGGCGGAGAGTAACCGTAATTGTCGCAGGCTGCAGTTAAAGGACATCATTCCTGTGGAGACTCAGAGACTCACAAAGTATCCCCTTCTGCTAGAGAACATCGCCAAATACACAGGTACAGCTGCCTCTTTTAATACAAAAAAATATCTGCAAATCTAACAAATGTTATGTCCTTTTCACTTACTAATATCATAAATATTAAGATATCTGCAAATCTGACAAATAATCTTTACCATGTTATGTTCTTTCATTAGCAAAAATACAAATTAAATTAAATTTGATATCTTAAATGGTAAGATATTTCTGCAAATCTGGCAAATGTTATGTTCATACATGGTAACACTTTACAATAAGGTTTCATTGGTTTAACGTCAGTTAACTACTTATGGACTAGGATTGATCTTCTACAGCATTTATTAATATTAGTTCATGTTAATTGTCATGTATCATTTACTAATACATTATTGCAATAATATATTATATTTCGTAACATTAGTGAATGCATTTTATTAACTAACAGTATTTTATTAACTAACATTAACCAATATTAATAAATACTGTAAAATATGAACTAACTCGTTAGTTCATCTTAATGCATTAATGTTAACAAATTTGACCTTATCGTAAAGTGTTCACCAAATTAACATTAATATCTTAAATTTTAAGATATCTGCAAATCTGGTTTTCTTTACTACGTTTTGTCATTTTCATTAGGAAAATACATATTTTAATTAAAAATAATATTTTAAGTACGAAGATGTCTGCAAATCTGACAAAATGTGATATGTCCTTTTAATCAGCAAAAATGCATATTATAATGATTTAGGGATTCACCGATATGACAATTTTGGCCGATACCGATAACCGATAATTCTTTATATTTGAAAGACGATAACCGATATATTGGCCGATAAATCAAAATCCAAATTTTTAGACAATTTTTGAGAGTCTGATTATAAAAAAGTCTCCTCATTAAAAGTCAAGATACAAACACAGTTATGATGTTCTTATTTTAATATTGACAGACTTGAGCTGCACATTTTCCACTTTAACTGGATTTTCCTTTTTTAAAGTGATTTCAATCATATTTCAAGCAATTTAAAAGCATCATGTTGAACAGTGCACATCTAAAGTGCCTCAGCTGAAGGAAATAATACATTAGTTATCAGCTTTTAGATATCGGCTAAATATTCTTGTTGGGCCGATAACGATAACATAAAAAATTATCATTTATCGGCCGATACCGATAATGTGGCTGATATATCGTGCATTCATATAATGATTATATATTTTAAATAATAAAATATCTGACAAAAATGTTACCATTTTTATGTACAAATAAATATCAAATAAACAAATAAATGTTGCTATATTGTCACTGTGTTTGTGTCTGAGACTCAGATGTGGCAAGGTCTGTTTTTGTTTAGAGTGTCTCTTATGATCCAGAATTAGCATGAACCACTCTGAGCCCTGTTTCTCACATCCCGCATCTGTGTAACATCAGCAGCAGAAGGATGTAGTGCCATCACATTAACTGCATTTCTGCTACAGCTTAATTCAGGAAATTATGACAGAGCCATAAGTTATAAAATGGCCATTTGAAGTTGGTCAGTAATTATTACAACCTAAGTTGTCATGAAATGACAATTTTGGATGGGGTAAACTAAAGCAAATCACATTGCATGACGCGTCAAATTCTCACATATTACAGAGGACCCTGAGGAGAGAAGTAAAGTGAAACGGGCTGGCGAATGCTGTCGAAAGATTCTCACCCACGTCAATCAGGAGGTGAAAGAAGCCGAGAACAAACAGGTGAGTAAATAACACAATGGCTGCCTGACCTCAGATCAGACCATATTGAACTGATCCCTGATCATCTGTTCTCCCCAGAGGTTGGAGGACTACCAGAGACGACTGGACCTGTCCTCACTGAAACAGAGCGAGAACCCCATGATAGCAGAGTTTAAGGTGAGACCTCGTATTTATCCAATTGAAATCCATTTTTATCAACACAACAACAAAAAAAAACAGGAGATTAGAAAAATAAGTATAACAAATTATCCCTCGCTTTCCACAAAATTATGATTTTACTCTCTGTCTAGATCTTGGACTTGACGAAGAGGAAGATGGTGCATGAGGGACCACTATCCTGGAAGGTCAACAAAGATAAAACTATTGGTAGGTGTGGCTTGTCACCGAATTCACCCTTGACCAAACTCAATTTAGAAATGTTTTCTATGAGTGATATCATGGAAAATATGATTTTTATCCCATTATCAGATGGTCATTTACAATAAGATCTATTAAAGGTGCGGTAGCGTAAAAAGCTGTTAATTCTGTAGAGAAAATGGTCTTGAAAACCTAAATTATGACTTGTGTTTGGTGCAAAACAGCTTGACTTACATCATAAGTGTACATCAGGGCAAAAATGTAATGTTGCGAAAGTGTATAATACGGCAAGTTCCCCATGTATGCTTTTTCAAAAGGGGCTTTCGCAGTGCAGGAACGGGGAACGTATAGGAACACTATTTGGGGGAACTAAATTAGCTCCTACCTCAGAGTAACCCAGCACAATAGGAACTACCAGTAGCATAATTTGATGGTCAAAGTAGATGTTCGCAGGCAGTCAGTGAAAACCATAGGCTGGAATTATGCTAATTTGTTACAAACCTATGTAGGTTCATGCAGACTGGAATTACTGATAATGTGTTTCAGGCAGAATCGTTCTTTTGGGAAACAATAACTCTATTATCGTGCATTTTACATTTATTCACATTTACATTTATTCATTTAGCTGACGCTTTTATTCAAAGCGACTTACATTGCTATGTATGTCAGAGGTCGCACGCCTGTGGAGCAACTAGAAGTTAAGTGTCTTTCTCAGGGACACATTGGTGTCTCGTGAACCTGGGTCTCTCGCACCAAAGGCATGTGTCTTATCCACTGCGCCATCACCACCCCACATTGATCTTTGAAAATTTGGGTTCGTACAAGTGTTTGAAGTACTTGAATTTGACTTTTTGATATTTAAGTCCTGGAAAACCTTTGAAAACAGACATATATTTTTTGAAGAGGTACTTGAATAGTTTTTAATATGTTTTTCGGTGAAAAAATTATCTTTTCACGCAACATGCCGCACTTTTATTATATACAATAAGAAGCTATTTTATGTGTTTATCTTCATAGAAAACATGTTTTCAAAAAAGGAGCTTTACAACCTTATCAGAGCTAATGATGATATTAGTAAATTTTAGCACGGGTTAAGCCCCATTTTCATCTTTAAAGAGGCTATATGCAGCTTTTCCCCAAAAATAAACGCAACAATACCCTTTTTTATTTTACCATTTATGACTAAAACATCTCCTGATGAGCATACTGACACCTTGTCCGCTCACAGTGGGTGCACCTTTAAGCCTGTATCCTATTTTTCCTATTTTCTGTCGGGTCGGACTTTTCCCACGCTGTCTGCGGATGTGACGTCAAGCATAATACATAATAAAAACTATTCTAGTACCTCTTCAAAAAATATATGTCTGTTTTCAAAGGTTTTCCATGTTCATGTTAAACGTTTCAGATCACTCTGCCACCAGCAGAACACTTTATCTCAAACAATGTTCTTACCTCTGTAAACATAATGTTGACATCCTTGCAGCAAATGACTAAGTGTGCACGTAAAAGCGTGCGTTGCGAGAGCAGTTCTGTTTTTGGCCACAGGTGTCAGTCGCGAGTTTAAATTTCAGGAAACGCATGTAGCCTCTTTAATCATATAAAACGTAATTTTCCAACAACAAAAATGTGGCTAGTGAAAGTGCTGCATGGCTGCTAATTTTGGAAAACCACTAGCCACATTGGCTAGTGAGCAAAAAAGTTAATTCATTCGTCAGGTCAATCATATATTCATGGAAAAAAATCTGTTTGAATAAGGAAGGCAATATCTTTGCGCTGATCAGTGGATTGATCTGTATGAAGTGAAACATCAGATAACATGTCATTTGAGTAAAAAACTAAATAAATACAAATAATAACGATATTGTTTGATAAGTGCTGATTATAGTCCTTGAAAGTCCTGGTATTTTCATTTTACATTTCATTTTTCATTTAGAATCTGTACGAACCGTTACATACACATACAGATATCTAATTAGTGTCTGAAAAATCATAATTGGGGCACTTTAATGTAATATTATTGTGAAATGATTACATATGGTATGTGTGTGTGCAGAGCTGTACACATTGCTGCTGGAAGATATATTGGTGCTACTTCAGAGGCAAGATGAGAAGCTGATCTTAAAATGCCACAGTAAGAATCTGGCGGGCACCGCTGAGACCAAACACATCTTCAGCCCTATCATCAAACTCAGCACTGTCATGGTGCGCTCGGTCGCCACCGGTAAGGAGCTCTGCTTTTCAAAACAGATCAGACATTGTATATGGACATGTATCAGTTCATACAATACCTCAACTAAACTATAAAAGGTGTTTAATGGCTTCTAGATTAAAACAAAAGCAGATTTCAAGATTTCAAGCAGATTACAAGGGTAGGTTGAAATGACATTATTGTGTGAATGTATTACAGACAACAGGTCATTCTTTGTACTGTCGATGTCTGATAATGGAGCCCAGATCTATGAGCTTATGGCCCAGACTGTATCTGAGCAGAAGACGTGAGTACTCATCTTTTTACCTAGAATTCCTTTGTGTCTGCCCTTTTAGAGTGTCCATTAAGTATCTGTTATTTAAGTGAACAGAATTTACCTCAGTATCAGTTTAGCCTCTAAAACATTGGACAAATGTTTGTGTTATTTACAATTCACAATTATATATAGTATTTATTCGTATTTTGAAAAAGCTTTTATTTTTATATATTCATTTTCATTTTCGTTTAGCGAATTTTATGTGCTTTTTGATTTTTCTAGTTTTCTAAATATTTCTATTTTCTATAAGTAATTTTAGTCAATGAATTTATTTCCATTAGTTGCTAAGACAATATCTATAATTTAAGGTTTTACATTTAATATTTTTTTTGCTCAGCCTTATTTCAGTTACCGAAAATTTGAAAACATTTTAGTTAACATCAGAAATTACAAGAGGTAAATTGTAAAAATGTACTATAAAAATATAGCCTGGATGCCAGCCCGAACTCCGCCCACAACATTTTTTGGTCGGGAAGTTCGGGCTGGACTCGATCCATTGAGGAGTAATTATGATCAGTCAAAAAATGGTCCGGCCAATCAAATTGCCAGGGCGGGCTTTATACAATGATGGACATATGATCTGCAAGGACGTAATTATCATGTTATCAAAAAGCGCTAACTGGTTTCTCTCAAAGATGACTGCAGCTGGAGAATTGAGATGTATAGATTCCACTCTCGCGTCTGTTGTGAAATAAATCGACAGCGCATTCATTTTAATAGACTAACAGAAAACTGCAATCAAGGCATTTGTCGATCGGAAAGATATTTTTGCCGTCCTTCCTACATGATTCGGCAAAAGTGTAACTTATCAGCTGGCTCCGATGGTCGCTAAGAAGATGGGACGTAATGAAAAGCCTGTGGTCGTTGTGGCTTCTCCTTTGGTCGCACTCAGGGAGGACCAAGTAAAAGAAGCAACACTTGTTATTTAACTTCTAAAATAAGTAAGTTCTGTAGTTGACAACTGTATGCAAAGTAGTTAACTTACTGCGTTGCTCTGATTGGTTGTAGGTCTACCGACTATCCAATTGAGTGCAGAGTTGTTGTTTTTTCCTGGTTCGGTTAAGACACGCCTCATAATCAAAGCCCTATGGAGCAGTTTCAGACTCACATTTTGACTAGAATATGAGTATTATGAAGTCAGGCTAATAAAAATATGCTGTAAGTTTCAGAAGTCAAACTTCCTCATTAGTCCAAAAACAGCTTTTAATTGAAACCAACCTCAGAAAATGATGGGGGTTTTTTTTCTTTTTTTTTTCACATTGCTACACTTAATAGTGTACAAAAGACCACCTTTGCAGACGATTACTGCCTACTTCTACATCATTGTCTTTTTAGCCCCGCCCACCAATTTTCGCATGTCACGTAGTAGTAAAATACGAGACCGATAGTCGATTACTAAACATTTTGAAGTGCTAAGTTGTGGAAAAACAGTTTTCATGTTATCAAAAAAGGGTGAATAGCCTATAAAAACCACAGTGAGACAAACAATGGTACATTCATTCATAATTCTGATTACATGACGCTTCAGTCATCTATTATCAATTATAACTGTAGTAACTCCAAGAACGTACTTATTTCCATATGCAAAAATATTACCCAATCATAGAAGTTAGCTTTTATTTTTATGTCTTGAATGCGATGTGTGTTTGAAAGAGAGGGTCAAAATCAGGATAGAAAATAGCTTATTGCTTATAGATTAGGATGTAAAAACAATCTAAGTGTACCTCAGAGAACATGCAGCTCATAACCCCTACCTGTTTTGATTTGTTTGATCTTCCAAACACTAGGTGGCAGTGTTTGATCACACAAAGTGCAGACAGCATGAAGACCAAACTACCAAACATCATTCCATTACCTCAGACTGAGTGAGTTTAAGGTTTCTACATCATTTCTATAGTTTTATAGGCTGTAAGTTGATGTGATAACATGAGATGTTTTGCAGTGGGGAGCGTGAAGAGGTCGAGTTGATCAACTCTGGTGTTCCGAAACTAAACAAAGACGCTGAGCCCATTTCTTTAGGGAGCATTCAGTCTCCAGGTAAACATTTTTTTGTTTGTTATTTCATTTCATTCAACTCAGGATGATGTGCAGTGCATTTAACTGTCAGGCATTACAGTATCAGCATAAAGTCTGGTCTGCATTGCTCACTTAAACAGGAAGAGAGCATCTCACTGTTGTACAACTAGTGACAGATTTTTAAGATGTGTAATGCAAGTAAATATGAAATGGATACCATGCACAGTAGAAGATGAGCTATAAAGTGGTAGTTCATTCAAATATGAACATAATGCATTTTAGTTTGACTGCTAAAATATGGCAATTGGCAGCGCATCCAGTATCCATTTGTAGATATATAAGGGGTCTTTCACACTGGGCACATTTGCTGCAGTCTGAATGTGAGTGCGATTGTTCCCATTGGTAGGGGGTGTTGGACTGATTTCACACTCACTTGATTCTTTTGAACCTCAGTGCGTTTGTGTTCGTCTCACACCATCACAAACGTGCATGACACATGATGGAAAGCAGAGCACAGGTCAATATATATATATATATATATATATACAGGGGTTGGACAAAAAAAACTGAAACACCTGGTTTTACTACACAATAATTTGTTAGAATGGTGAGGGCCTCATTTTGCATCCAAATACAGCACCAATTGACAGATAGAAGTCCTTCACAGTGACCAGAGGGATTATGAGCCGTTCCTCTTCCAGAACAGTGTCCAGGTCGCTATATGATGCGTGTGTGTTGGTGCATGATCATGCTGATACACGGTTTGAGCATCAAGTGCTCATGATCCTCCAGAAGGGTTTGGTAGTCCTCGGCAATGTCGTGTCCATCAAATACAATCAGGATTGTCATGATATTGGAGCTCAAACTATCACTGATCCACCCGTGCTTCACTCTGAAGATTGGCCGCCAGGCATATAGATGTGAAACCTCCAACATTGGCCAGTGTTTCAGTTTCATTGTCCAACCCCTGTATTTGTATTTATTTTATTTTTTTGGTGCCATTATGTGCTGCAGAGTGAACGAAACTTGTCCACAGTAGAGCTGTACGATTTTGGATAAATTGAGAATCACAATTTTTTTTTTTGACAACTAAACAAAATAACATGTAATTTACTAAAGGTTCTGACTAAATATTAATTTCTGCAGTCTATTTAAATTATATAAAAAAAAAATGTCGGTTTGAATGAACGATTCAATGACTCATTCATAAGTACTTCATTTGTTTCATTTACTGGATGAATCAGCGTTTCTGAACAAATCTTTTGAATGAATGATTCGATGACAAATACATTTTTTAATAGTCACTTGTTGACTTGTCACCTAGTTGCGTAAAAATGTAATAAGTAATTCAAAAGGTGATTTGCTCTATTTTGATTGCTTCCGTAGCCATCAGTGTTTATATCCGAACGTTAATGTTCCGGTATGATTTTGTCAAAGGTTTAGACATGGCCGAATCGTTGTCTTTTAGGAATATGATCGTGTTTGCAGGTGTTTGAATTGAGATTGCGATCTTTTAATGATTAATCGTGCAGCTGTCTACATGAAGGCTTGCAAATGGACTCTTTTGAGGAGACGGCAGATTGTGAGCCATTCATTTGCCACTCTGATTCATTCACTATGTGCGATTGTTGAATTAATGACGTCATCGGCTAAAACGCATTGCATTTTGTAGTACAGAACCAAGTTTGAGCTACTTTCATATTCACACTAATCGTGCCGCAGTTCCATTGCAAACGAAATCAGAACACGTCCTACAGGTAGTCTGGGGTTCGGTACCGTGGTGCACCCCCATGAGACTTAGACCTGAGTGCAAAAATGGAGGCTCTAGCCCCTTCCAGAGCTGAGATATCGAAACTCAAAAATTCGGCCCGAAAAAAAAACGACAGTGGTACCCCTCACGTTTTTTTTTTTGGGGGGTGAAAAATTAAGTTTCTCCAATCTTCCCAAAACTCTGGATTCTGATAGAGGGCCATGAGACTTAGACCTGAGTGCAAAAATGGAGGCTCTAGCCCCTTCCAGAGATGATATATCGAAACTCAAAAATTCGGCCCGAAAAAAAAACGACAGTGGTACCCCTTATGTTTTTTTTTTTTTGGGCGAAAAAGTAAGTTTCTCCAATCTTCCCAAAACTCTGGATTCTGATAGAGGGCCATGAGACTTAGACCTGAGTGCAAAAATGGAGGCTTTAGCCCCTTCGAGAGCTGAGATATCAAAACTCAAAAATTCGGCCCGAAAAAAAAACGACAGTGGTACCCCTTACGTTTTTTTTTTTGGGCGAAAAATTAAGTTTCTCCAATCTTCCCAAAACTCTGGATTCTGATAGAGGACCATGAGACTTAGACCTGAGTGCAAAAATGGAGGCTCTAGCCCTTCCAGAGCTGAGATATCGAAACTCAAAAATTCGGCCCGAAAAAAAAACGACAGTGGTACCCCTTACGTTTTTTTTTTTGGGCGAAAAATTAAGTTCTCCAATCTTCCCAAAACTCTGGATTCTGATAGAGGGCCATGAGACTTAGACCTGAGTGCAAAAATGGAGGCTCTAGCCCCTTCCAGAGCTGAGATATCGAAACTCAAAATTCGGCCCGAAAAAAAAACGACAGTGGTACCCCTTACGTTTTTTTTTGGGGCGAAAAATTAAGTTTCTCCAATCTTCCCAAAACTCTGGATTCTGATAGAGGGCCATGAGACTTAGACCTGAGTGCAAAAATGGAGGCTCTAGCCCTTCCAGAGCTGAGATATCGAAACTAAAAAATTCGGCCCGAAAAAAAAAACGACAGTGGTACCCCTTACGTTTTTTTTTTTGGGCGAAAAATTAAGTTTCTCCAATCTTCCCAAAACTCTGGATTCTAATAGAGGGCCATAGACTTAGACCTGAGTGCAAAAATGGAGGCTCTAGCCCCTTCCAGAGCTGAGATATCGAAACTCAAAAATTCGGCCCGAAAAAAAAACGACAGTGGTACCCCTTACGTTTTTTTTTTTTGGGCGAAAAATTAAGTTTCTCCAATCTTCCAAAACTCTGGATTCTGATAGAGGCCATGAGACTTAGACCCTGAGTGCAAAAATGGAGGCTCTACCCCTTCCAAGAGCTGAGATATCGAAACTCAAAAATTCGGCCCGAAAAAAAAACGACAGGGTACCACCTTTTTTTTTTTTTTTTTGCGAAAATTAAGTTTCTCCAATTTTCCAAAACTTGCTTCTGATAGAGGGCCATGAGACCTTAGACGAGTGCAAAATTGAGGCTCTAGCCCCTTCCAGAGCTGAGATATCGAAACTCAAAAATTCGGCCGAAAAAAAAAACGACAGTGGTACCCTTCGTTTTTTTTTTTTGGGCGAAAAATTAAGTTTCGAATCTCCCAAAACTCTGGAAGGGCTAGAGCCTCCATTTTTGCACTCAGGTCTAAGTCTCATGGCCCTCTATCAGAATCCAGAGTTTTGGGAAGATTGGAGAAACTTAATTTTTCGCCCAAAAAAAAAAACGTAAGGGGTACCACTGTCGTTTTTTTTTCGGGCGAATTTTTGAGTTTCGATATCTCAGCTCTGGAAGGGGCTAGAGCCTCCATTTTTGCACTCAGGTCTAAGTCTCATGGCCCTCTATCAGAATCCAGAGTTTTAGAAGATTGGAGAAACTTAATTTTTCGCCCAAAAAAAAAAAACGTAAGGGGTACCACTGTCGTTTTTTTTTTCGGGCCGAATTTTTGAGTTTCGATATCTCAGCTCTGGAAGGGGCTAGAGCCTCCATTTTTGCACTCAGGTCTAAGTCTCATGGCCTCTATCAGAATCCAGAGTTTTGGAAGATTGGAGAAACTTAATTTTTCGCCCGAAAAAAAAACGTAAGGGGTACCACTGTCGTTTTTTTTTTCGGGCCGAATTTTTGAGTTTCGATATCTCAGCTCTGGAAGGGGCTAGAGCCTCCATTTTTGCACTCAGGTCTAAGTCTCATGGCCCTCTATCAGAATCCAGAGTTTTGGGAAGATTGGAGAAACTTAATTTTTCGCCCAAAAAAAAAACGTAAGGGTACCACTGTCGTTTTTTTTTTCGGGCCGAATTTTTGAGTTTCGATATCTCAGCTCTGGAAGGGGCTAGAGCCTCCATTTTTGCACTCAGGTCTAAGTCTCATGGCCCTCTATCAGAATCCAGAGTTTTGGGAAGATTGGAGAAACTTAATTTTCGCCCAAAAAAAAAAAACGTAAGGGGTAACACTGTCGTTTTTTTTTTCGGGCCGAATTTTTGAGTTTCGATATCTCAGCTCTGGAAGGGGCTAGAGCCTCCATTTTTGCACTCAGGTCTAAGTCTCATGGCCCTCTATCAGAATCCAGAGTTTTGGGAAGATTGGAGAAACTTAATTTTTCGCCCAAAAAAAAAAAAACGTAAGGGGTACCACTGTCGTTTTTTTTTCGGGCCGAATTTTTGAGTTTCGATATCTCAGCTCTGGAAGGGGCTAGAGCCTCCATTTTTGCACTCAGGTCTAAGTCTCATGGCCCTCTATCAGAATCCAGAGTTTTGGAAGATTGGAGAAACTTAATTTTTCGCCCAAAAAAAAAAAACGTAAGGGGTACCACTGTCGTTTTTTTTTTCGGGCCGAATTTTTGAGTTTCGATATCTCAGCTCTGGAAGGGGCTAGAGCCTCCATTTTTGCACTCAGGTCTAAGTCTCATGGCCCTCTATCAGAATCCAGAGTTTTGGGAAGATTGGAGAAACTTAATTTTTCGCCCAAAAAAAAAAAAACGTAAGGGTACCACTGTCGTTTTTTTTTTCGGGCCGAATTTTTAAGTTTCGATATCTCAGCTCTGGAAGGGCTAGAGCCTCCATTTTTGCACTCAGGTCTAAGTCTCATGGCCTCTATCAGAATCCAGAGTTTTGGGAAGATTGGAGAAACTTAATTTTTCGCCCCAAAAAAAAAAAAAACGTAAGGGGTACCACTGTCGTTTTTTTTTCGGGCCGAATTTTTGAGTTTCGATATCTCAGCTCTGGAAGGGGCTAGAGCCTCCATTTTTGCACTCAGGTCTAAGTCTCATGGCCCT